GTATTGGGGGGTCTGTACCACTATCAACTTCCCAAATTCTCATCTCAACCCAGCACATCTGGAGCTGGCAAAGGGGTGGTTCAAGGTAATGTTCATCAACCTTGGGCACTTAAAGATGAGTGGACTTCAATTCCCAGAATTCCCCAGCCAGCTTTGCCTCAGAAAACCAGGCCAGCCCAAGAGGCAGGAGACGACTCCTCTCTCCCCCAAACCCCTGAGTTCATTGGTTGGCCAAAGAGGTCTAGGCAACTGCATGCAACCAGACACCTCAGAGCTCCTTCTATGACTCCAGTTCACCTTTCCATTGTAAGGAACTCAAAGTGAAGTCCTTAGCCTACTGATTCCCAGGAGGAGGCCCTGTTGGACTGCAATTCCCATCACCTTCAGCTGTGGAGTAACAAAGATGGTAATGCAACACATTTCAAAGCATCATGCAGAAAACCAGCCCTGGGAATTTTGCTAAAAAATTCAGAGATCCTTCAATGCTTCAGTCCACTCAGGGCATGCTTGCCTGATCCTGCTTTGTGCTAGAACTAGGTGGGTTCCAGATATCTCCAGCATGGCTCTTAAGTCCCCAACAAAGGACTTGTCCATCTCTATCATCTCCAACCAGGACAGGAAAGAGCCAATTCAACCCAGGAGACCATAAATTCAAAGTTGCATGACTTTGAGCCTCTCTCAATGAAGGAATTATCTGTTGGAACAGTCAGTCCTGGTGCTTAACACTATTCAGCAGGCTGAGAATACAAGCTTTCATTGTGCCCAACATAGAATTGCTAGCTAAATACTGCAATATCTATTCACAAGCCACCATCTGGACGTTATGGGCTGGGTCACCTGTTAATTTTCCATCTGGCAGCGATGGCCACTGCGTGCCAACCTCACAAAGTGTGCCTGGCTGGTCCCACAATGTTGACCAGCAGCTCAGAGAATTGCAGAGTTGGAAGGGAACTAAGAGGTCATCAAGTCCAACCCGCTGCACACTGCAGGATTCATGACACCATCCCCTTTGATAACTACCCAGCCTCTGTTTGAAAATCTCCAGGAAAGAGGCGAAAAAAAAACCGCTGGATGTGATAACCTATTCCACTGATTGGTAGCTCCAAAAGTCAATATAATTCTTCCCAATATTTAATTGGCACCTTAAGTTTCATCCCATGAGTTCTAGTCTTGCCTTCTGGAGCATCTGAGAAGAAATTCGAACTCTCTACAATGCAACAGCCCTCCAAAGATATGATGGCAGCTGTCGTGCCCTCTTTGCCAGCTAAATGTTTCTAAGTCTTCTCGTCTAGGACAGTCTCTCTCTCAATCTTAGCCACTGTACGATATGTAGACTTCAACTCCCAGAATCCCTTGGCCAGCATGCTAGCGAACTTTAAGACTGAGGACTTCAACTCCCAGAATTCCCTGGCCAGCCATGTCTTGAGAAACCCTCTCCCCGATAAAAGCGCCAGCGCATCCAGTTCCAACCGGTAGGAACTCATGAACCAGAACTGGAAAAGGGAGGAACTCATGAACCAGAACCTGAAAAAGGGATGGTTCAGAGGGAAAAGGAAAGGATCTACTGGCTCCTTCTTTAAACTTCCAGGGATCGCCCCGCATTTCAGCAAACACTTTCCCTTTCTGAAGAGCCATCCCCTCCCTCCCCCCCAAAAAATGTCAAACGGGCAATCCAGCTGCCCCCGCTCCGAATGCCACAATCAAGCCTCGCTTTAATCCGGAGTCGTCTCGATTCCCCTTCGGCTCGCCTTTGCCGGGGAATCGCTTCCCTCTTCAGCAGCCGGTATTCCCGGAGCAGGAAAAAGGGAGCTGGCGGACCGTTTTTCCACCCAGCCAAGGGTGGATTCCGCCTTCCCAGTCCCGCTCGACCCCTTCACCCCAGCTAAGCTCGCCTGGGAATCATGGGAGGTGTAGTCCTGCAGACCTGGGAGGAACCTGCCTAGGGAGAGGAGGGGGGCCCGCCTGCCCAGAAAAGACCCCGCCGAGCAAAGCGGCGTTGCGCTCCCGGAGTTAGCCGCAGCGGCGGATGGATCGGCGAGCCCGGCTGCCGCGGTCCTGGCGCAAGCCGGAGACCCAGCCTGGCGTCGGGCGAGCGAAGGAGGGGAGGGGAGAGGGCTCTGCTGCTTTCTTCCAACGGAGCCCAACCAAGCGCGGAAGGGAGGCGACGGGGCGCAGCTGCCCGCTGCCCCCCAAGCCTCCCCAGGGCCGGAGGACGCGGGGTGGGAGGGGAGGAAAGGGGGCGGAAAGGGGGAGAGCGCCTCTCTTCCATCCCCATCCCGCCAGCGCGCGCATGCTCCTGCTCCATCCTTGCCGCCCCCAGACCCCTTAATCCGACTGCGGAGAAAGGAGCCCGCGCAGGGGACCCGGGATCGTCCGCCTCCACCGTCTCGGCCGGTTCAGGCCGCCGCGGACGTCGGGCAAGGAGCAGGCCACCCACCCACCCGGAGCCCGGGCTCTTCCGACGCCCCTTCCCCGCGGGACAGCCCGAGGACCCCCCTCCCCCACCGGAGCATGTCAAGGACCCCTCCCCCAGGCAGAAAAGGGGGAGGGCGGGCTGCGGCGACCCCTCCCCTCGCCTCACCTGCCGCCCCACCTCCCTCCCCCTCCGGGGGTCCCAATCCGGCGCGCCCCCTCCCCGCCTGGGTCCGCTGCCTCCTGCCCCCCCCCCGGCTCACCAGCTGCTCCTCCGGCGAAGGCTCCCCGCCTCCCCCGGGCTCGCTGCTCCCGGGCTTGGCGGCCGAGGGCTCGGCGGCGATGCGCAGCGCCTGCCGGACGCGCCGCTCCTGGCGCTCCCGCAGCAAGTGCAGCTCGCACAAGCCGGCCAGGGTGCCTTCCAGCCAGGCGCGCAGCCGGCTCCGCTCCGGGCTGGCCGGGAAGGAGAAGGCGCGGATCATGGTGCCCCCAGCCGGTTGCAGCGCTCGGCGGGCGGGCGGGCAGGGGACGGGCGGCGGCTCCGGCGCCGGGAAAGCGCAGCGGCGGCGCAAGTGCTGCGCTTCGGCGGCGGCAGCTGCAGCTCCGGCGCTGTCACCGCCTCATTTGCATGTGGGCGCCGATTGGCTCGCCCGCCCGAAACGGATTGGGAGACTCGGCTTCTGATTAGCCCGCCCGGCCCAGCGCCACGCCTCCCATTCAAACAATTGGGCCCCGGCCGCGCGTCGCTTTGGCCCAATCGAGCCGCGCCATTGGTTCCCTCGGCTCCGCTTTATTTACAAAGCCCCTTTCGCGGTGGAGATCCGGCATTGGCTCAGCTGGGAGACTCAATTTGCATGGCGTCAACCTCGAGTCCAGCCATTGGCTCTTCCGCGGGAACTTCACCCGTTGGGACCCGCCCTCGCAGCGAGCTATTGGGCGGTGGCCCAATATATCTGCATACTCCCGCCGCCGAGCCGCCTGACTCATCTGCATAAAACTCCCCCCTCCGAAAGTGCGCCCTTGATTTGCATAATCGAGTCGTTGATTCAAGCCATTGGTTCTTTCCCCTCCCTGCCTCCTAGCCACGCCCTGCGATTCGTCTATTGGTCCGCTCAGCTCAATTTACCTGGCTGGCCACGCCCTGCGGTGGGAGCCACCGAGCGCCCTGGGCATGAAATCATTTTAAACCGTTAATCAAATTATTAAATCATAACAAATAGTCATAAATTCCCCGCTCCCTGATGTTCCCGACACGCCTGGACGCCAGGAGCGTCATTTGCCAATACATTTGCATGTCTCCGCCTTCTGCTGGCCCAACCCCTCTATCGTCTCATTCATAAAAAAATCTGGCCCCGCCCACCGAAGTGAAACAGTTTCTGGCCGCCCGTCTGAATGTCTTGTTTTCTGAATGAATGAATGAAGCTTCGGGGATCCCTCCCCCGCCCTTTCAGGGCCCCCGCCTTCCCTCCCAGCATGTCCCCCTAGTTTCTTATGTCCCAAAGTGTGCCGAGGGTGACTTTTCTCAAGGGGGCGTCCGGCCAAAGGCAGCTTCGGGGGGGATCCTCTCGACTTTCCCCTAAATGCCGGGGGGGGGGGCTGGGCGGTTTGGGGCCTGGGGTCCCCGAAAGGTTTGGGGGAACGCACCCGCCGACCGTGCCCCCGCCTCCTGGTTCCAGAGGCCAGCTCAGCTGCTGCCTTGCTGGAAAGGCGGACTTGATCTCCAGGCCAGGCCGAAGAGGGGCTTCTGTTAGGCGGTCAGCAAGCCTGGAAAATGTCCCTGGGCAGTTCAGACAACCGTCATTCGTGGAGTTATGAATGGGGAGACGACCGGAGAGCCCCAAGGTTGGAGAAGGTAAGTTGGCTGACTTGGGGATTCAGAGGCGGCTTCGGACACGGAGCTTTCCCCCCCCCCCCGCGCTTGAAAAAAAGCAGGGGACCAGGTCAAAACGTTGGACGTGGGGATGCCCCCCTCCCCATTCTGCATCTTCCCATTAGTGTAAAAATGTTTTTTTAAGGGAGGGAGGGAGGGAGGGAGGAAGGAAGGAAGGAAGGAAGGAAGGAAGGAAGGAAGGAAGGAAGGAAGGAAGGAAGGAAGGAAGGAAGGAAGGACAGAGGGAGGGAAGGAAGGAGCAAAGGAAGGAAATCTCCTCCCTAACCACACACACACACACACACACACACACACACACACACACACACACAGCTGCGAATAAGTCACCCTGGCTGAAGACCAGAAACTGGGTGCTTTCTGGAACATGTGGGGGTACATCTTCGTCAGGAGCCTTTTGAGGAGTTCTGCACATCCTTTTTTGGGATGGGGGTGAGAAAGCCTCAAACTGACTAGATTCCTCCTTTCCCAAACCCCAGAAGGGCTGTGGGACTCCAACTTCCATCACCCTCAACAGCGTGGGTATTGGGTGGGGAGGTCTGCCACACCTTGGGAACCCCAGCTGGTCGTGAAGGGGCTTTGTTTTAAGAGATCCACTACAGAGGAACCCATGAGAGGAGACAGCGGGGTTCCTGGTAACCGATCCCCCCTGATTCAAAAGGGGAAAGAAACGTCGGACTGATCCAGGGATGGTTCTTACACGCGAGAAAACTGGAGGAGAGGCTGGCTCAGCTTCCAGGGAACAGCCATGCGCGATGCTTCGGCCGCCAGGAGGAAGGGGCTGGCAGCAGTGACAGTGACTAGGATGGGTAGCAACAGTGGTTTATAAATGGTGGTGATAATAATAGTGTGAGCAGGTAGCCATGGTGATGGAGAAGCAGGTAGCCATGGCAATGGCAGTGGGGGGGGGGAGGATGCTGGCAGCTTTTGCTAAGGACAGGGAGAAATAGCAATATTGGGGGGGGGCGGGAAAGGAAGGAAATGGGAAGAGCGAGTCTCTTTGAAGCTGCTGGCAAGTTGTGGTGAGGAGCATCTGTGCTTCCTCCTCACCGTCATGCTGGCTGCTCAAGTGCCAAGGAGCCTCGCACGGTGGGTTGATGCACGGGGGAGGCAGTTTGAGCCCCAAAGGCTTGGGGACCTAAGACAGGGGCCCAGACTTCCACAGCTGGAAATTCAAAATAAAACCTCACAATGCCCCCCAAAAGGGGCACCAGCATAGCAGGACGAACAGCCACTTTTAAGCAGCTGCGGTGACCTCTCTAGCTCTCAGGAGTGCCTCTGAGCCAGTGCAAAGTGCATCCCTTCCTCTCCATTGAGAATCCATGTCAATTCCACACCTGGAATGAACGTCAATTCCACACCTGGAATCCACGTCAACTCCTCACCTGGCATGCATGCTGATTCCACACCTGCCAGGCATGTCAACGCCACGCCTGGAATACATGTCGATTCCCCATCTAGGACCCTTGTCAATTCCCCACCTGGAAAACACATCTGTTCCACACCTGAGAGTGTGGCCAACCTAGAGGCTGTTAGCAGTTGGCTTTTTAGCAGATCTGAGCGCCCCTCTCCGAGAAGGAACGCGCTCCGCCTTGCTAGAGCCAGCCACCGCCGAATCTGTTGCAGGCGTTCCAGATTTTCTAAGCATAAGCAGAGCGAGAGGGGCCGCGTGCCAAGGCATGTGCGGCAGAGTCGTGTTCTGGAAAAAGTGATTGGAAAGAGGAAAAAAACGTATTGTCTGTGTTCCATTGTTGCTATAGCCACAGCCTGTGTGGAAAGTCCTTCTGCCTCCCTCTACTTCAAAGTAACCTCCTCACCAGGCATGGCTGAATTCCAGACTGTAGGAAATCTCGCCGGGGATCAGATCCTTCAAGGCACTGTTTCTCAACTGGGTCAATTTTAAGACGTGTGGACTTCAACTCCCAGAATTTCCCAGCCAGCTGTGTCTTCAGATTGCCAAGGTTGAGAAACATTGCTTTAAAGTCCAGTTAAGTTAAACCAGTGTTTCTCAACCTTGACAATTTTAAGGCATGTGGACTTCAACTCCCAGAATTCCACAGCCAGCAACGCTGTGGAATTCTGGGAGTTGAAGTCCACATGCCTTAAAATTGTCAAGGTTGAGAAACACTGAGTTAAACCTTTTGCTACCCCCCCCCCATTTCCTTTGGCCCATAGCATCCGTCAGCCTCTGTCATTGTCCCTTCACCGCTTCCTTATGATCTCCGCAAACCCATCTCAGAGTTGAGCTTCCCTTTCAAAGTTGACCACCCTCAATTCATCCCAAAATCTCCAGCTTATTATTATTTTTTTTGGCATGGTCTTCCCTCCATGCGGCACGGTTTTCAAATGCCCACCTTGCCCAAAGGCCACACAAACCAGCTTTCCAAGCGAGGGCAAATGACCAGGCCAGGCCTGGGCCAAGGCAGCTGAGCACCCCTGCAAAAATGATGGAAGGGGGGGGGGTGTCTGCCCAGCAAGTGTCCCCGACAGCAACACCATGCAAGGTGCAAACTTTAAGAAAAGAATCTTTCCAGAGACTGGAAAGTAGAATGAGAACCAAACAAGAAGCCCAGAGTCACTCGACAGGAGATGAGTGGCATATAAATTTGATAAACAGATCAATAAATAGAAGGGTAAGTAAAAAAGAAAGAAAGAAAGAAAGAAAGAAAGAAAGAAAGAAAGAAAGAAAGAAAGAAAGAAAGAAAGAAAGAAAGAAAGAAAAGAACCGGGTGGGCATTCTCCCCAGAGACCCGCTCAGTAGCAAAAGAAACAAAAGTTCTCCTGACTTCTTCAGCCAAATCTACATGCAACTCAAAGACGCTTTTTAAAATCTAGGATTTAAATGTATTTTTATATACAACACAACGTTCAGGCTATTTAAAAAAAAAAAATAGACATTTCAGGGTATAAACAATTGTCCGGGGTAAGCTGCCTCTTCAAAGCAAGCCCAGTTGCTAGGAAGTGGCCACATCAGAGACCGCCCCATATCAAAACCGACTCTTTCCCATTGACCAATCAATGGTGGTTTATTCCACAAACTCTAATGAGCAAACCAGAAATTTGGTGGTAGTTGTGAATCCAGTTAAGTGCCGGGTGGGGAGTGGGGGGGTTGGAATCAGTAAGCTTCAGCAGAAGGATGTTGGCCAAATTTAATAGCAGAAGAGGAGAGACGGACCTTTAATCTAATAAACGCCAATAGGGAGGGGCTGAAATCTTGGTGGGAAGAGGGGGGGAAATCCCATCTTGGTTTGCGTTATGCAAACAACCTCAAACCCACATATTTCTCCTTCCCAGAGAAACCCAGAGGCCTGCAAACTGCTACTGTTCTTCCAGCGAGGTGAGACTACCATTCCCATCAGCCTGGCTGGGGGCAAAAATATTTCTAGCTGACCATCATGGAAAGCTTTAGATCAGTGGTTCTCAACCTTTCTAATGCTGTGACCCCATAATACAGTTCCCCATATTGTGGTGACCCCCAAGTGGGTGTGGCCACCAATAAGAGGGAGTAGGACAGCTAGGGAAAAGGGAAAAAAATGGAGGACAGCATGGTTTGGCGACCCCCGTGAAATGGTCGTTCGACCCCAAATGGGGTCCCGACCCACAGGTTGAGAACCCCTGCTTTAGACGGAGAATTCCTGTCCCGTCAAAAAAAAATTATGGGGTTAATCCTTCACCGGATGTGCAGAGTGGGATTTGAATCTTTCAAAGAGAAATGAACCACACAGCATCTCTTCCCCCCACCTCCCCTGGGCTTTCTTCCTCTCCCTTCCGGCGCATGGATTTTGGCCAGCCCATGTGGTTTGGAGGCAAAGACGTTGGCCCACTCCACGCTGGAAGAGAAGGTAGCTTTGTCTGGTGCACAAGGAGCCAGTCTTTGGTGGCGCTGGCCTGTTTCAAACGGTCCACTTTGGAAAGCCGACGTGCCCTTGGGAGGCATAGAGGAAGGAGCAGGGATTTTGGAGGGGGGGGCTATACGAGGGGGGTCGATTTCTGTTTCTGCCTCCCTCAACGTTGAGTCCTACTTTGAAGGCTGCCTGCATGAATTTTTGCCCGCTTGACAATTCCCTCTCTGCCAGTCCGTTAAAAGCAAGATTTCTAAAGCTGGACCATTTTAAGAGGGGTGGGCTTCAACTCCCAGAATTCAGCTGGCTGGGGAATTCTGGGAGTTGAAGTCCATCCTGCTTAAAGCAGCCAAGTTTGAGGAAACACCGATTCAGCGATCAAAGAGAGCAATTCCCACTCAGATTGATTCGATCAGGGGTCTCCAAATGGGGCCACTTTAAGACTCGTGGACTTCAACTCCCAGCATTCCTCAGCCGTCGTGTTTCTGCCTGCTGCATGTTTCCGGCTGAGGAACGCTGGGAGTTGAAGTCCACGAGTCTTAAAGTGGCCCCGTTTGGAGACCCCTGGATTAGACCCCCTCTCCCCCAAAGAAACCTTCATTCAACCAGGAATCTTCATCAAAGAGAGCACCGCCATCGGTTTTGAGGCTGTTTCCACTGTGAAACAGTCCCGATTCCTCTTCCTCAACCTCCATACCTCCCCAAAGCTTCCTCTGCATCCCTGGGTGGGAGGGGACACAACCTGTAGCCCCCATCGGTCCTAGCTCAAGAAAACTGGCTACTTTTGCATGAACCTTTTTTAGCCAAACACTCAAAATGGGCTAATAAGCAACCTCGGCTCTTTTATCACTCATGGACTTCAACTCCCAGAATTCCTGAGTCAGCATAGATGACTCAGGAATTCTGGGAGTTGGAATCCATGAGTCATAAAAGAGCCAAGGTTGCCTACCCTTGGGCTAATGCAACGTGCAAAGCAAGTCCCCCATCCCAGCCCTGAAAAAGGGGAGGAGACAACGGAAGCAGGGCTCCGTCCAAGGGCCAGGTTGACTCTACCCATTGTGCACGATTACCTTGCCCCTTGTGGGTCTCCTTTAACGTGGCTCTTAGCGATGCCGACCTTCGAGCAGCCAAAACTCTCCTTGCAAAGATCTGACAGGTTCCGTTTCTTGTTTTTCCAACCTCCCGGAAAAGAGACGATGGGGGAGGTGGCGAGTGCGAATTCAGTGAGCGGCCAGGGTTGCTCCAGTCAAGGTCCTCGTCCAGTTGCGTTGCCCTTCGTCCTGCCCGCCCGGTCACAGGCCTTCAGAGGACGCTGACCCGCTCGGCTAAGCCCTGCACCTCCATCTCCTCCTCTTCTTGCTCTCTGGACTCTTCCTCCTCCCGCAGCCGGCGAACGCGCAGATGCTCCGGGTACTGCAGGCGGTGCTCCGCGGCAAACTGCTCCCAACGGGCGTCGTCGCTCTCGTGGGTTATGTAGCGCTCGAACATCCGGCTCTCCAGCTCCCGGAGGTCCAGCCAGGTCTGGTAATCCTGAACAGGAGAGGGATGGGGCGAGGGGCAGATGGAAAGAAGGCAGCAGGTTTGTGGTGGTCTTAGGGACCAGCTGGTGTCAGGCCCAGAGAACCAAGAATGACGGGTGGGTGGCCACACCGACACTCCCAGCCACATGGAGAGGGCAGAATAGGAGAGCAATCCCCACTCATTTCTAGCACTGAGGATATTGCCCAGTTGGGTAATGAAACGTCTGCAAGAAAACCAGCCAGTTCAGAGAGCACCCAGGACCCCACAGATCTCTTCCTCCTCCTCCTCCTCCTCCATCATTCCTTTCTAGCACTGATAGCTTGGTAATGAAACATCTGCAAGAAAATCACCAAGCTCAGAGAGCACCAAGGACCCTATAGTCCTCAGACCCCTCCTCCTGCCCATCTCCTCCTCTATTTTGAAAACCTTCCTCCCTTCTAGCACTGATGATGTTACCCAGTTGGGTGATAAAATGTCTGCAAGAAAACCATCAGGTTCTGAGAGCATCCAGGGCCCCACAGTTGTTGTTGTTCTTCTTCTTCTTCTTCTTCTTCTTCTTCTTCTTCTTCTTCTTCTTCTTCTTCTTCTTCTTCTTCTTCTTCTTCTTCTTCTTCTTCTTCTTCTTCTTCTTCTTCTTCTTCTTATTCTTCTTCTTCTTCTTATTCTTCTTCTTCTTATTCTTCTTCTTCTTCTTCTTCTTCTTCTTCTTCTTCTTCTTCTTCTTCTTCTTCTTCTTCTTCTTCTTCTTCTTCTTCTTCTTCTTCTTCTTCTTCTTCTTCTTCTTCTTCTCTTCTTCTTCTTCTTCTTCCTCCTCCTCCCTTCTAACACTGATGATATTGCCTACTCTGGTAATGAAACATCTGCAATAAGCCCACCCAGCACCAAAGCGCCCTCAATTCAAGACCTTTATAGTCCAAATGTACAGCGGAGATCATGGTGGGGAAAACCTGACCTAGAGTGACCCATTTGGGTCAGGAGCGATTCAACGCAGCACAGCCCCCACCTCTTCAACCGACCTGTAGCCAACTGTGGCTGAGTGATTTATCCACACTGTAACGTTTCCTCATCTTCACCTGGAGCAGGTTGTTGATCAGATCGATGGCTGAAAGGGGGCGAAAGGAGAGCCAAGCCTTAAAACCAGGATTGTTTATTAATGTCCTCAGCCATTAAATTTCTGTTGCCGCCCAACTCAACCCAGGTGAGGCTAGGTGGGGATGGGATGGATGGATGGATGGACGGAAGGAATGGAGAGAGGAAGGAAGGAAGGAAAAAAGAAAAAGAAGGAAGGAAGGAATGGAGAGGAGAGAGAAAAGGAAGGAACAGAGAGAAGGAACAGTGAAAAAAGGAATAGAGAAAGAAGGATGTAAGGAATAGTGAGGAGGAAGGAAGGAAGAGGAAAGGAAGGAATAGAGAGAGAAAGTAGGAAGGAAGGAATAGAGAGATAGAAAGGGAAGAAATAGGGAAGGAGGGAGGGAGGGAGGAAGGAAGGAAGGATCCCCAATTGGCTTTCAATCAATGCATCCTCCAATAATCCAAATCACCAGGATGAAGAAAGACATCAGACATAAATAAGACACAGCCACACAGGGCTCCATTCACGCTAGACGTTCTATTTGTGAGTCAGAATCTAACACACACACACCCCAAACTAGAAACCCAAACGTTGTGGGGGGTGTAGTTCTATTCTCTGAGCCAATATTTTTCAACCTCGGCTGCTTTAAGACGGGTGGACTTCAACGCCCAGAATTCCCCAGCCAGCTCTGCTGGCTGGGGAATTCTGGGCGTTGAAGTCCACCCGTCTTAAAGCGGCCGAGGCTGACAATCAACCCGCTGATCCTTCCACCCGCCTTTCGCCCTCTTTCCCAGGAGAGTCACCTCCAACCGAAATCTTCCGCCAGGGGTTGTGCGGATACATGAAGTCGGCGTTCTGGATCTGGTCGTTGATGTCCTCGTCCTCGTTGAACGGGAAGGTGCCGCTCAGGCTGACGTACATGATGACGCCCACCGACCACATGTCCAGAGAGCGGTTGTAGCCCTGGTTGAGCAGGACCTCGGGGGCCAGGTAGGCCGGCGTGCCCACTACCGAACGGCGGAAGGATTTCTCGCCAATGATGCGGGCGAAGCCAAAGTCACACAGCTTCACCTGCGGAGCGGAGATCAGAGGGAGGGAGGTTTAGCCGACGGGCGTGGCTGTCCAGGTGGTCCTCGACTTATGACAGCCCGTTTAGTGACCCTTACAAAGGCGCTGGAAAAAAGGGACGCAGGACCGGTTCTCACAGTTTCGACCGTGGTCACGTGATCCAAATCCAGAAAGCTTGGCAACTGGTTCACATTGAACGACGGTCGCAGCCTCCCGGGGTCACGTGATCCCCTTTTTGCAACCTTCTGACAAGCCAAGTCAATGGGGGAAGCCAGATTCACTTAACGAACAGGTGACTAATAGCAACCGCAGTGATTCACTTAACAATGGTGGCCAGAAAGGTCGTAAATTGGGGCCAAACTCACTTAAACGTCTCACTTGACGCTGTAAGTTTTGGGCTCCGTTGTCGTTAAGTCAGGCATGTCAAATTTGCGACGTATCGCGACTTTTTCCCCATTTCCGGCAATGGGGTGGGCGCGGTTTCAGCGTGACGCATCCGGCCCGGGGACCGGCAGTTTGACACGCCTGTCATAAGTCAAGGACTGCCTGTAAATCAATCAAGCTGGATTTTCACACATAAAGCTTATTTTTTACGCTTGGCACTGAAAGGCAAGGTATGATCCTGAGATTTTGGTATACAAAGGTAATAATAATAATAATAATAATAATAATACCACCTGGGGGAAAGGCTCGGCTGATGCCAGGAGGACGTTTTCAGGCTTCAGGTCGCAGTGAACGATGTTCTTGAAATGCAGATGTCGGAGGGCAACCAGGACCTTAAGGGAGAGGAAACATCCAGAAGAAACAACTTAACAAATAGAAGAAAATATTTTGTCGCTCAGGGCTGAACTGAGGGGTCCTTGGTGCTCTCTGAGCTTGGAGGTTTCCTTGCAGACGTTTCATGACCCAACTAGATTACATCTTCAGTGTTGGGTAATGAATGTTGAATTACCTAGTGCCCAGGACCCCATAGTCCTTCTCCTTCTCCTCCTCCACTCTGCAAACTCCTCTCCCTTCTAGCACTGATGATGTTACTTATGGAATGGGATAAAATGATCAGAAGCAAAGTACAGAAATTACATTTGACAGATTGGTAACTTAGAAATGGGACCAAGAAAGTGCTGTCTTTCTTTTGAGATTGCTGGAGTCGTTCTGACTCTAGAAGAGACTTGACAGGTTCCAGGTTGATCCCATTTTCCTCCCAGAGAGCCCCAAAGGGGATTTTTGCTCTTTGTTTTAAGGAACCTATAACATTCCCCTGGGAACAATCTGTAATCAAGTCATTGTTTTGAGATCAAGGCAGAAGCAATATTTTTAGTTAGGACTCTGGAGCCCTCTAGTGACAGATCCGTGCATTACATCCTTCAAGATTTGGGTGGCAGGAAGTTTAGAAAGAAAGAAAGAAAGAAAGAAAGAAAGAAAGAAAGAAAGAAAGAAAGAAAGAAAGAAAGAAAGAAAGAAAGAAAGAAAGAAAGAAAGAAAGAAAGAAAGAAAGAAAGAAAGAAAAGATCTGGAGAAGCCTTTCTACCTGGGTGATCAGGAACTTGGTCAGTCTCTCTGGGAGCCGACCCTTCTCCGAAGACAGGATCATCTCCAACATATCCCCGTGGAGCTTCTCCATCACGACAAAGACTTTCTCCGGGGTCTCAAACATGCATTCCAGGTTTACAATCCCAGGGTGCCTCAAACTCTAGGACGGGGTCAGAATGAAAAACAGGAGGCTTAACCTTAAGGCAAAGGGGCTCCCCAGCCCACCCTGCAGAGAGGATGATGGCAGGCTGGGTGCCACAAGGGAGTCAGTCGGTCGTTTCATTTTGGCGTTGACCCGCACAGCCAATATCTGTGCAGCCTGTATCAGGAGAGAACTTGGCTAGAAGAAAAACCAGCTAAAATCTCCTATCGCGATACGCCTGAAATTACAAGTTTAAGATCTTATATAGTTAAGAAACATTAATATAGTTAAGGCATCAAGGCCATCTGAATAAGGCAATCATGTCACTTAGAAGAACAGTAAAATTACCAATAGTATAGTACTATTGTAATACTAAAAAAAATAAGAGATCAACCCCGACTGCTCTTTAGAAGGCCAGATCCTGAAGTTGAAACTCAAGTCCTTTGGCCACCTAATGAGAAGGAAGGACTCACTGGAGAAGAGCCTAATGCTGGGAAAGATGGAGGGCAAGAGAAGAAGGGGACGACAGAGAATGAGATGGCTGGATGGAGTCCCTGAAGCAGGAGGTGTGAACTTAAATGGACTCCAGAATATGGTAGAGGACAGGAAGACCTGGAGGAACGTTGTCCATGGGGTCACGATGGGTCAGACACAACTTCGCAATTAACAAATACGACAAATACTAAAATCATGGGGGGGAAGTGTAATTAATAAAAATATTACGTCTAGAGAAAATGCCCTGCTTTGGTGGAGTGCTTCTCAATCTTGGTCATGTTAAGATATGTGGACTTCAACTCCCAGAATTCCTTCCTGGTTGAGGCATTCTGGGAGTTGAAGTCCACCAGTCTTAAAGAGGTCAGGTTTGGAGACCTCTGGTTTAAAACCGAAAGGTGAGAGTTCAATCACAATGTGTTTATCTATCTTGCCCACTGACTCTGGCCGCTTAATGATTAAAAACGAAATGAAATAGAAAGGAAAAGTGAGAATCCCCCAACAGGGGCGTCACCAGACTGGGTGGGACCTCTCACCTGCAGGATGGCGACCTCGTTGCGCAGTTGACTCTCCTGCTTTGTGGGGAAACGAAGCTTGTCGATGACCTTCACCGCCACATCCCGACCTGTCTTGCGGTGCTTCCCTGGCAGGGCAAGAGAGACGTTGCGGAGTCAGCTGGTTCCCACCCACCCCCTCCAGACCAGCCCCGAGTCTCCCCAGAGATGATGCTTCCTCTTGCAGGGCGTGAATCCTTGGACAAAAGGGTTGGGAGATGCCTTCAAGACTTCATCTTCCCTACGGTTGCCCTGATTGGGCTCATCCCTTGTTTTGAAGAATTGCCAAGCTTTTGATTGAGGTTAAAGGTTAGTTGTCTGGAAAGGGGGGAGGGAGAGGGAGGAGGGAGAAGGGAGGGAGAGGGCTCTCCTTCAGTTGTTGAACTTAAGTTCTCAGCACAGCAATGACAGAGACAACGAAACATGGAACGTTGCAAGATTTGAAGACCACAATTGGTCCTTTCGGAGATCTACTTCCAGGGACATTCCCACAAGCTTCGGGGTGTGCATCACAACATTGCAAGACTGGCACGGTGTAGGCTTGTGAAATGGGAACAAATCCACCCTCCATCCTCTTTTTGACCTCTGTGGCAGCTGCCATCTCGACTTTTGGACACCATTGTTCTATGACAAAACCTGGGAAAAGGAATGAGGGTTACCTCCGTAGACCACGCCAAACTGCCCGGAGCCCAGGACCTCATCGGGGAATATCTGGTAGACGGTGGCAATATCCTGCAGTTGGACAAAGAAGTCACCTATTAAGGTCACCTTCAGTGGGTGACGAGACCGAAGAACGAGACTCGGAGGAAGAAGAATGGCAGCTGGTAGGACACTCACCACGTTCTCCTGGATTTGGCTGTTGGACACAGAGATCCGCAAAGACGCTTGTCCTAGATGAGACAAGACGAAAAGATTTAACTTCCTCCATGTCTTGACTCCATCTTTGGCTCACCCGGAACTGGGCCCCCGGAAGCCACTTTGTAGGCCACGATCTATCTCCGAGGACCCCAAACCAACGAGAAGAGGCAAGGTAATACCCTTTCCCGTCAGTAGAGGGCAGTGTTGCACAAGGAGCACGCTCAGAAGGGAAACTTTGATTCACCCAGAATTGATTTCTTGGCAAGGAAACGACGAGTAGTCCTCGCTTACTGACTATTCGTTCAGCAACCGTTTGAAATGATGCTGAAAAAGGAGACTCATGACTGGTCCTCAAAGTTACGGCCACTGCAGTGTGCCCACGGTCACGTTATCGTGATCTGGGCACTTGGAAACCAATGCACCTTTATGAGGATTGCAGCATCACAAAGACACCTGGCAGAACCTCACACCCTCACAACTTCACACCCCTACAAGAAAACTCAATGGGGACGCCGGCAGGGAAGTTTGCAAGCCACAGTCCTGTGACTTTGTGCGTCATGACCTCAGGGGATCCGCTTAATGACCACACTGACATCATAAGTCAGGGCCGTTGTGAGACGTTCCACTTCACAACGGCCTCCCTTGCGGCAGTCAGTAAGTGAGGATTACCTACGCAAGCGTCACCCAGGCGCAGGTCTGTGCGTGCCGCACTTACTGTGGGGGGGCTGTCCCTGGGCCGCTGGCACCCCCTGCAGGACGACCGGCATGAAGGCTTGGCGGAGGGCCATCTCCCAGGCCTTGGCGTGTTCCAGGCTGTCTCCGCCGTGCTGCGGGTTGCTGGGGGCGCCATTCTCGCCCACGTAGTAGGTGGCGTTGGCGGTAATGATTTCGAAGCAGTGAGGATTGGCACCGGACGGCATGAGGGAAAAATCCTGAGCCGGCTCCACGGCCAGAATCTCCGACAACGGGATCTCCTGGCGGAGGTGGAAAGGCGGAAAGAAAGGAAAAAAGGAAATAATTAGCTCTTTTCCAGAGAAAGGTAGTCCTCGTTTTACGACGGGTGGCTTAGCAACCGTTCAAAGTTACGACAGAGCCCCTCCCCAAAAGCTGCTTCTGGCCTGGTTCCGAAGTTCTGACATCTGTCCAGCCCTCCCTGTGGTTGTGACCATATTTGGGGGCACTCAGCAAACGGACCTCATTTATGGCTGTTTGGGGTATCCAGTGAGATTTACAACATTTTTTTTTTTTTTGCAAAAACTGCCGTTTCTTTCCAATTCGGGGCAAAAATACCCATAGCGAACCGGGCGGGGGGGGGTTTCCGAGTGGAGGCTGTGGGAGATACTTCAGTCTGGCTCTGAGCTGGGGATGGAGTAGATGACCTCAAGCCTGCCCCTCCGCACTCTGGAATCCTCTGGTGGTTTGCTTCCTGGGCTGTGAAAGGCCAGCCCCTTCCCCTAGTCCAGGGGTAGACAGTCTCGGCTGTTTTATGACTCATGGACTTCAACTCCCAGAATTCCTGAGTCAGCATAGCATAGCATAGCATAGCATAGCATAGCATAGCATAGCATAGCATAGCATAGCATAGCATAGCATAGCATAGCATAGCTGACTCAGGAATTCTGGGAGTTGAAGTCCATGAGTTATAAAACAGCCGAGGTTGCCTACCCCTGCCCTAGTCTTCTGCTCCCTTTTTCTACCAAAAAGTTTCAGCTGAGAGAAGACACCCCCGCCTGCCCCCCAGCGAAGGGCAGAAGCTTGCTAGGACAAGGGGGTCCGGCTCCCCACTTTTGTCCCTGTCCTGGAGACCCTGAGAAGAGGAGACTCACCTTGTAATAGCGGTTGCTACTCTTGTTCTGGAAGAGGGTGAGGCACTTGCTGTCCAGCCGCCAGTAGTGGCGTTTCCGCTGCAAAGGAGGAAAAAGCAAAAAGGGTTGGGGGATCAGGAGGAGGAAGGGGCTTCTCTGGCGATGAAAGACCCCCCACTCTTGGCACAGCCTGCTATTGAAATTGAAGGTGGGTGGGCTTCAACTCCCAGAATTCCCCAGCCAGCACATGCAACAGAGTTGCCGATCACATGAGCTGGCTGGAGAATTCTGAGAGTTGAAGTCCACAAGTCTTACAAGTGGCCAAGCCTGGAGACTCCTGCTCTGAGTGGGGAATTCTGGGAGTTGAAGTCCACAAGTCTTAAAGCGGTCAAGCCTGGAGACCTCTGTTCTGAGTGGGGAATTCTGGGAGTTGAAGTCCACAAGTCTTACAAGTGGCCAAGCGTGGAGACCCCTGCTCCAGGCATTGGGGCATTCGGTCCAGCAAAGAGACCAGCCATGGTGAAGCCCTGGTGGGACACCCTCTTGCAAAGAATCCTGAACGCAGCGCTACGAAGCCTCCAAGAGATCCCTCTGCAGCGCCTCTGCTGATCCGTTCTGAGCCCCGCAGCCCCTTCCCCTCGCTCACCAGGGTGTCCTTGTTGCTGAAATGCACCATCCAGCCTTCCTTCAGGGCCGTGCTGGACTTGCGGGTGGTCTGGCGGACGGACTGGACGACTCGCATCAGGGGGATGTACCCCACGGAGCTAGGTGGACAGAGGGGGAGGGGCACAGGTCAGAGGGGTGACGGAAAAGCCCCCCCCCATGGGAAAAGGAGACCCCAATGATGGGGAGGGCTTCACTGGAAGTGCTGAAAAATCAAAATTATCAACGGCCTGGGGGGAGAGGAGGAGTCGTAATACAGGCCGTCCTGGACTTAACACTTATGCGGCAAAGTGAGGCATTCGCTAAGTGAGTTTCACCCCGTTTTATGACCTTCCTCGTCACAGTTGTTCAGTGAAGCACGGCAGTGGTTAAGTTAGTTACAGGCAATCCTCAACTTATAACAGTTTGTTTAGTGACCGTTCAAAGTTACAATGGCACTGAAAAAAAATGACACAGGGGATCCCGTGACCCTGGGGACACTGCAACCGTCGTAAATGTGAGTCGGTTGCTAAGCGCCTGAATTCCGATCCCGTGACCGCGGGGACGCTGCAACGTTCCTAAGTGTGAAAAACGGTCCTTTTTTCAGCGCCCTTGTAACTTCAAATGGTCACTAAACGAAGATTGAGTGTGTTGCAAAGCCAGACCTCCCACCTGGCCCCTGGAGCCGTGAGGAAGGAGCACCTGGGTTCCCCCCCCTCACCTCTGGGACTTCTGGAGGCTGTCCGCGTCCTCGTCCATGCGCAGCTCACTCTCCGAGTGGGATCCCGGGATGATCCCCGAATCGTCGGACTCGTCCATGAGCGAGTTCTTATCCGCCTCGCTGAGATCACTCGATTCTTCCACAGAAACATCTGGGGGAGGAAGAGGGGAGGAATCCAGGGATCCAAATCCGGCATGGGAAATCTGGTCACCCTGATTCCAACCGTGGGGATCTCCCCGCTGGATGGGATCAAAACAGTTAAAGAAGGGGCCACAGCCCTACTGGTAGTCCTCGCCTGACGACCACAAGGGGGCCGGAATTTCCTGGGCTAAGCAAGGCAGTTAAATACATCGTGCTCAACTTTATGACCTTTCTGCCACGGTCGTTAAGTGAATCGCTGCTGTTGTTAAGTAAATCACATGGTCAGAAACTGCTGGAAGGTCAGCTCTGCATTCTTTCATGCCAGTCCGGCATCCGGCGTCGCTCCTGCCCCAGCCAGCGTAAAATCACACACACATATACACACACCCTGGCCAGAGTCTCTTCCATCTTGTCCCGCCTGCAATATGAGACGTCTTTGGAACTCACCACCACCGTTAAAGGAGGTCTCTCCCAGACAGTCATTGGGCACTCGGGTCGCGCAGCGCTTGTGGCAGTTGAATTTGCAGTCTGGAGGGAGTTGGGGGGGAGGAGAGAAAGAAAAGGGGGGGCCACTTTTCAGTGACTCCAAAAAGTCCCTCACTCGCCTTCCGTCCAGGAAAAGGGCTGGCCTTTGGGGGATGTAATGCCATCAGCCGCCAGCAGAGGGAGACCAGAAATAAAACGGATTCTAGCCGGGCATTGCACCTGCAGCTGTCAGACTGCAAATATCTGGTAGCGGGGAGTTCCCCATTCGCCCTCCCATACATGTTACGGAAATGAGCCCACTCACCTTTGCACTGAAGGCCCTGGCGGAAGAGGCCTTTGAGGAGTTTCTTGCAGTACTGGCAGACGGTGGGGCGGGTGTAGGAGTGGATGAGGAAGGTGTGGGGCACCTTCACCTTGGAGAGGAAGAGCTTGTCCAGCTCAAGGGGGCGGCCGATGTAGGTGGAGGAGGTCAGGCGGCGGGGAAAGAGCTCCGTGGAACACCGACTCTGGGCCAGGAACGGGGCGGAGAAGAGGACAGGATCAGGGCAAGGACAGGACACAGAGAATGGCCAGGGAGGGAGGGAGGGAGGGAGGGAGGGAGGGAGGAAGGAAGGAAGGAAGGAAGGAAGGAAGGAAGGAAGGAAGGAAGGAAGAAGAGAAGGGAGGGAGGGAGGAAGGAAAGGAAGGGAGGGAGGAAGGAAGGGAGGGAGGGAGGGAGGGAGGGAAGGAAGGAGGGAAGGGAGGGAGGGAGGAAGGAAGGAGGGAAGGAAGAAAGGAAGAAGGGAAGGAAAAAAGGAGGGAAGGGAGGGAGGGAGGGAAGGAGGAAGGAAGGAAGAAAGATAGGAAGGAAGGAAGGAGGGAAGGGAGGGAGGGAGGGAGGGATGAGGGAGGGAGGGAGGAACAAAGGAAGGAAGGAGGAAAGGAAGGAAGGAAGGAAGGAAAAGAGGGGACTTACCCCTGGCCAAGAAAGTACATGTAGTCCTCAACTTACAACAGTTCACTTAGTGGCCATTCAAAATTACAACCGCACTGAAAAAAGTGACTTACAACTATTTTTCACACTTACGAAGGTTGCAGCATTCCCCCCCCCAGTCACGTGATCAAAATTCTAGTCCTCAAGACTCAGAAGAAACCAAGCAGAGGCCAAGCGGAGCTGCCTCAGGCCCGGTGGGGGGAGGCAGGGCTGACTCACCAGTTCGTCCGGGGCGCAGGGCAAGGATTCGGTGATTGACAGCCGCAAGGACTGTGAGTTGGCCAGCGAGGTGGACGAGAGGCGGCGTTTCCTAGCGCTGCTGCAATTGTTGGGGATGCTGAAGGCGCAGCGTTTGTGGTAGTTCAGGCCGCAACCTGTGGGGCAGGAGAGGCCACGGGGCCGGGAGGTTAGAAGAAGGCAAGGGTAATTAAAGTATTTCTTTAATAATCATTTTAAATCCTTTGCCAGTGAAATTATATTACTGTATACTGTTCACTTTGCAGGCTGAGAGGGAATTTACAACAGCTCTGCAGGGTAGGTCAATGCTCCGTTTTAGTGTTTCTTGACCTTGGCAACTTTAAGTTGTGTGGACTTAAACTCCCAGAATTCCCCAGCCAGCAATGAATTCTGGGAGTTGAAGTCCACACATTTCTTAAAATTCATTAGCTTGCCAGCTGGGGAATTCTGGGAGTTGCAGTCCACACAATTTAAAGTTGCTAAGGTTGACAAACGTTACTCCATTTCATGCATATCTTTCAAGCCTCCCTTTCTGATGTGCAGACTCTGGACATGTCCAGATGTTTCAGATCATGAAAAGACATTTCTTTTTCCCACAAGGAAAATAAAAATAAAGATTTCTACGAGGAAAGGATTGCTTGTTCTTACTACTACGGTTTCTTTCCGCCAAGGAAAATAGGAGATATAGGCGGCCATCTGATGGCCATCATGAAAAGGGGGAAAAAATCCATCTTTTAGCAACCCCAGTTCTCTACTGCGGCTTTCCCTTCACCCCTTCCCCAAATAAACCCCATTCTTCAAGCCGGTCCTGAGTGCAAATCTAGCATTCTTAGAAGTAGATAACTGCCTTTAGTTTTCTGCAGGTGTTTTTTTTTTTTCTTACCGTCACATTTGAGGCCTTGGCGGACCAAACCGAAAAGCATCTCTCCACAGTGGTCGCAGAAGGCCGGGGCCCGGTACGAGTGGACATTGAGAGCGTGCGGACGGATCTGGAAGTCCTCAAAAGTAGCCGAGGCTGCAGAAAGAAAGAGAGAGAGAGAGAGAGAGAAACAGGAGGAAAATCCAAATAACGATTGTTCTTTTCTGCACTTCACGTCAAGCACTTTGATTCCCATTTTCATGCAGGTAGCAAAACTTTTGGGTGACCCTCTTAACTGGCTGATCTCCAAACCTCAAAGTCTTTTAAATGTGTTTTTAGTTAGCAGGAGATGAGATAAGTAGCTGCCTTAACTTATCTTTTAATTTATCATTGTTTTTCCAACAATGGTTGGAAACTGAACAAAGAGAGAAGCAACCTGGAATTAAGGAGAAACTTCCTGACAGCGAGGACAATTAACCAGTGGAACAGCTGGACACCAGAAATTGTGGGCGTTCTTATCACTGAAGGTTTTTAAGAAGAGGCTGGACAGTCACTTGTCTGAAATGGTACAGGGTCTCCTGCTTAAGCAGGGGGGCTGGACTAGAAGACCTCCAAGGTCCCTTCCAGCTCTACTCTTTTATTATATCTAGCTATCTACTTGTATATATTTAACCCGTTGCTTAAATTTAGCTACTCTGGTGCAAATGATCCGATCTAAAACTAAAGGAAGGGGCTGGATTCACAAAGAAGAAGAAGGAGGAGAAGAAAGAAGAAGAGGAAGAGGAAGAGGAAGAGGAAGAAGAAGAAGAAGAAGAAGAAGAAGAAGAAGAAGAAGAAGAAGAAGAAGAAGAAGAAGAAGAAGAAGAAGAAGAAGAAGAAGAAGAAGAATTGTGGAGTCCTCTCTGAGCTGGGTGGTTTTCTTGCAGACGTTTCATGACCCAACTAGGTAACATCATCAGGAGACTGCTTTCCCTAACCGAGGCCCTTTACCTGAGAGAACCACCTCCACCAGGTCCCCCTCCTGAATGTCAGAGGCGGCTCGGACCAGTTGCAGGATGTTGGCTGTTGAGGAGTCATGTTTGAACAGCAGGATTTTATCGTAGAGGCCGTAGAATCCGCACTCGGGAAACTGCAAAAGAGAAAGATCAGCACGGATCAGATAAGTAATGGGGGGGGGGAAGGGGAAAGCCTTATAAAAACCAGGATTTTGGTACCAGGGAAAGGCAAGCCCAGGGCTTGAATGCTTCAGCGTTTGAGGGGACCCAGCCTTGCACTCTCTGACTGTACAGGTGGTCCTCATTGAACAATCACCACCGGCCATTCAGTCGTTAAGTGAACCGGTTACCAAGGCAGTTTACAAAGCAACTTCAGATTTCCTTCGCTTTGCGGACCTGTGGAGGTGTGTAAATGAGGCAGCACTTGTTGGGTAGGGAACTTTTGGCTACGAGCCTCGTTTTGGGGAACCCCGTGAAAATCCAGGATTGTATTGGTTCTGGGGGGGGGGTCCCCAAAGTATTAGCAACTAGAAGCCAATAATCAATACTTCCAGCAAATAATCCATCCTCATCAGTAAAGGCCAGTGGCCTGCCTAGATCAGGACTGGATCAGGAATCCTGGGAATTGAAGCCCACAGGGTTGTGAAATTGCCGTACAGAGAGTCCTCTGCTTACAACAGTTCACTTAGTGACCAAAGTTTATAACGACACGGAAAAAAGTAACTTATGACCAATTTGTTGCAGCATCCCCACGGTCACGTGATCAAAATTTGGACGCTTGGCCACAGTCTCATATTTATGACGGTTGCAGCCTCCCGGGGGCCACGTGATCCCCTACTGACAAGCAAAGTCAAGGGGAAAGAAGCCAGATTCGCTTAACAATGTAACAACGGCGGCAAGGAAGGTCGTAAAACGGGTCAAAATCACGTAACAACTCTCTGGCTTAGCAATGGACATTTTGGACTCAGTTGTGGTCGTAAGCCGAGGACAAGCAGTTGTTGCCCACCCCGGCTCTATAAGGCATCCTGGAAGCTCCTGGTGTGTTTTTGGGAAAACGCAAGCGGAATTTTAAAAAAAAACACCTGTCGTCCATGTAGATGGGATGTTGTTGTTGTTGTTTTTGAACCTCTCTTTTCCCACCATCACCCGGGGCTCACCCTTGGAGGCTGTGCCAGGAAGGGTGCCCGGTCAGACTCCAAACTGCACGGCTGGGGAAGGAAAGAGCTTCTTGCTTGGGGCATCCCAAAAGGCAGGGGGGCCTTCGCTGGGCTGCTTGCCAACATGGCAGGTATTTTGCACGAGGCTGTTCAAAAATGCAGGCAGGCAACCTTGGGGCTGGGGGGAGGGAGGGAGGGGAGGGGAGGCTGAGAGCTCTGCAAGGGAGGCAGGCAGGCAGGCGGAGGCCCAGGGCTGCACAGGAAGCAGGCGTGGGCCACGCAGGTAGGCGAGGCAGCCATGCGAGGCCTCTTGGCACCCGGGACGGTTATGCAAATCTCGCCTCTGATTTTGGTCCAGCTGATTTGCGACATTCCTTTGCAGGACAGATTGGCTTCCCCCAAGTCTTCCTCTTTTTTCTTCCTCTTCCTTCCTCTCTCCCTCCTTCTTTCCTGCCAGCCATCTTCTTTTCTCTTTTCTTTTCTCTCTTTCTCTCTTTTCTTTCTTTTCCTCCTTCCTTCCTTTCTTTCTGCCAGCCATCTTTTTTCTTTTCTTTCTTTTCTGCCTTTTTCCCTTCCTTCCTTCCTTCCTGCCAGCCATCTTTTCTTTTCTATTCTTTCTTTCTTTCTTTCTTTCTTTCTTTCTTTCTTTCTTTCTTTCTTTCTTTCTTTCTTTCTTTCTCTCCTTCCTTCCTGCCAGCCATCTTTTCTTTTCTATTCTTTCTTTCTTTCTTTTCCTCCTTCCTTCCTGCCAGCCATCTTTCTTTCTTTTCTTTCTTTTCTGCCTTTTTTCCTTCCCTTCCTTCCTTCCTTCCTTCCTTCCTTCCTTCCTTCCTTCCTTCCTTCCTTCCTTCCTTCCTTCCTTCTTGCCAGCCAGCCAGCCAGCTTTTCTTTTCTTTTCTTTTCTTTTAACCATCTTAGTTGTTCTTTTTTACGCTTTTTCCAACGTCTCAACATCTTTCTTGTAATGTGGTGGTGACCAAAACGGGATGCCGTATTCCAAGTGTGGCCTTATTAAGGCTTTATAATTAAGCAGTATTAATACTTTATGTGATTTTGACTGAGTTCCAGGGAAGACGACGAAAACTTTGTTTTCACCCAGAGATCAAATTTCCTCTTTCTGCACTGCACATCCAGGACCCTGCAGTGGAAGGAACGTTTTCTGCCAGGGCTGGCAGAACCACCAGCAAGGCACCCTGGGAGTTGAAGTCCCACACATCTGGGCAAGGAGATGGGCCCGCCTCGCCTCTGTCTCCAAGTGCTCCGAAATCCACCACCCCCCTCCTTAAAAATGCTACAACATCCCAGCTGGGGTGGGCAGGGGGGACGGCTTCAGGGTCTCCTATCCTATTGCACCAGCCCACTTCCCTCCACCACTGCCAGCTGCCCAGCATTCAAACATGGGTCACCCCCCCAAAAAAAAACCTATAAAAATCGAGAATAAATTTAAGGGCAGCCAAAAGCAGGCTGAGTTAAGGAAGGGGGGGGGATAAAATGCCAGTGATTCACCCAGTTGGCATCAGTTCGGCTAGACTGCATGGAGGAGGCAGACTGGAAAAACACCAAGAGGTTGCACAAATGCACAAATCATGGGATGGGGGCTGCTCCCTCGGAGCGTGGGATTGCATCAGGGTTGGGGGGGGCAGCCAGACCCCTTGCCTGCTTTTGTCCCCTTCCTAAAGGGCTATTACGGGCTTCAGAGAGGGTATATAGCAAGGGACTCCCCTCCACAGTTTGTAGTTGGAAGACACCCCATTGGAAAAACAACAACGGTGTTTCCTATCTGGTCCAGTGTTTCCAAAGGCAACAGCTGGCAGGCAGATGTGCAGCCAGGAAAACCACCAAGAACACAGGCGTTGGTCGGTTGGTTCCCTGCCTTTAGAATGGGGTGTTTCCAAGGTAGACTGCCTCTGGACGTGGAGGATCGATGGCGTTAAACAAGAGCTTCGCCCCAAGCAAAGTTGACAGCTTGACATTTGCAAGCAGCTGGCAGAGTTTGAATTTTTAGGGATGTGTTTTTCACGTTTATAAAGCAAATTTACCCGCTTCACCAATGATCATGAAAGCAGAAGCGGGGTTAGCCTTCCGAAGAAGCAATTCCCCAAAGATAAAACCTACATCTTACTCATGACACGGGGGGGGGGGCTGCTCACACTTTATCTAAACTTTTAGCGCATTGTACCACAGTGGTACCCAGTTCACCTTGCCTGCTTGAGCAGGGGGCTGGATTAGAAGACCTCCAAGGTCCCTTCCAACTCTGTTATTCGGTTGTTTTCAACCCGAGATTAGATTCCACGTCGTCCCTACGTGAAGGCACCACCTCCAAAGGAATTTGCTTGACCGCTTAAGTCCGAAAAAAAACCCCGGATTTCCTGTCTCCTGCTCAGCCACAATAAGGACTCAAGGTCATGTGGAAAATGGATGCCCAGGTGGCCGTTTCTCAGCTAAATCGGTCGTTTTGCAGGAGGCCCTTGGCTTAGGACCACAATTGGGACAGCATTTCCGTCACTAAGTAAGACGGTCATTTAGTGAGGCCCATCCGATTTTAGGACTTTTGCTGCAGTCACTAAGCAAATTGCTGCCGTTGTTAAATAAGTTGCCAAGCTTCCAAATTTTGATCACATGACCACAGGGAGGCTGCGACAGTCCTAAGTGTGAAGAACGGTCATAAGTCATTTTTTTCAGGTGGCCTTGTAACTTCGGTCACTAAACAAAAGGGTTGTAAGCCGAGGACTACCTGCAAATAACCATATTTATTGAACATCGCCCAGATTCCCACTGCGAGGGAATAACAGAGCAACAGAATTGGAAGGGATCTTGGAGGTCATTTAGTCCAACCCCCTGCTCAAGCAGGAGACCCTTACAGAATCATAGAATAATCGAGTTGGAGGGGACCTTGGAGGTCATCTAGTCCAACCCCCTGCTCAAGCAGGAGACCCTATCCCAGTTCAGACAAATGGCAGTCCAGTCTCTTCTTAAAAACCTCCGGTGATGAAGCACCCACAACTTCTGGAAGCAAGTAGTTCCACTGGTTAATTGTTCCAACTGTCAGGAAGTTCCTTTTTTAGTTCTAGCTTGATCCATTGCTGGGCGCTCTTTGAGTATGATCAACGAATAAAGCAAAATCCTTTGGGCTACTCGGAAGCAAAGCGGGCAGGGGGGGAAAAGCTGGGTGTCAGGCTGACCAAGGACATACGTGTTGCTCTTAAGAGCCGCGGCCACTCTCTCCTTGAGCCCGGAGGCATCCAAGTTTCCTCCTGACCGTTGCAGCAGCAACATCAACGGATGCAACCAGGGCGGCTTCCATCCGGGAGAAGCCCCAAAGATTATCACCCTCCAAAACGGGGGGACCATTTCCCTTTCCTGCACAGCAAGCAGCCAGGCGGGCAGGTCCCGTCTGCCGTTTCCGCTGCTTTGCTGTCACATAAAAAGCTCGCTCAGCACCGCCACCGAGGCCCCACATCACTTGTGCAGGGGAGAGGAGACAAGATGTTGCCGCCAACGACTCCAGCCACGTCTCTCTTTCTCTCACTCTCTCCCCTCCCCCCCCAGCTCTGAGTTCAGGTTCAGCATCCATCAGGGCGGTTTCTGCTCTGGCTTCTACCTGCCCTAACAATATGGATCTAACACACCTCCCCCTGGACCGGATCGAAAGCACCACCTGCAAAATGCAAGCTTCAAAGCACACAACGAACTCTGCAAGCAGCCTCTGCGACACAACGTGGCAGCCCTGGAACTTTTTTCTTTTTCTAAGTCAGCGTTGCCACTCTTTGTGTTTTTTCCCCGTTTTCATTTCGGGGTTTTCCCCAGCCCCCGATTTTATTTTCCCTTGTGGTTTCCTGAAGTCTAGGCTGTCTCCTCACTGCCATTCAGGAGGTGGCATTCGTATAGGCCCTGCCACCCTATAAACTAACACTTTAATACCACTTTACAAGGCCTTGGTAAGGCCACACTTGGAATACGGCATCCAGTTTTGGTCACCACAATGTAAAAAAGATGTTGACACTCTAGAAAGAGTGCAGAGAAGAGCAACAAAGATAATTAGGGGACTGGAGGCTAAAACATATAAGGAACAGTTGCTGGAATTGGGTATGTCTAGTTTAACGAAGGACGAGGGGGGGACATGATAGCAGTATTCCAATATCTCAGGGGCTGCCACAAAGAAGAGGGGGGGGGTCAATCTATTCTCCATAGTGCCTGAAGGCAGGACAAGAAGCAACGGGTAGAAACTAAACAAGGAAAGAAGCAGCCTAGAACTAAGGAGGAATTTCCTGACAGTTAGAACAATTAACCAGTGGAACAACCTGCCTCCAGAAGCGGTGAATGCACCAACACTGGAAGTTTTTAAGAAGAGATTGGACAGCCATTTGTCCAAAATGGTATAGGGTTTTCTGCCTGAGCAGGAGGTTGGACTATATGACCTCCAAGGTCCCTTCCAACTTTATAATTATTATTGTTGTTGTTGTTTTTGTTATTATTATTATTATTTTCAAACTTGGCGACTTGAAGTCCACCCAAGTTTGAAAAACAGCGGCATGAACTATTGTCCCCAACAGCAGCTGAATCGGGGTTCACACATTCCTTTGGGCACCTCTGCTTAAAAACTGAAGATTTTTAAGAAGAGACTGGACAGTCATTTGTCTGCAATGGCATAAGGTCTCCTGCTTGAGCAGGGGGCTGGACTAGAAGACCTCCAAAGTCCCGTCCAACTCTGTTATTCTGTGTGTGAAATCTAAACCACTGTACAGCCAGGAGGAAGACCCTTTGTCCAGCACGACAAACCTTAAGCCCCCCTCCTCTTTCTTTTGGCAAACAGACAGACCTTAAGAAGCGTTTGGAGGATTATGGGTGCTGAAGTTCCACATTTTTTGAGGCTATTTGATACTGAGAGCCAGTTTGGTCCAGTGGTTAAGGCGCCAGGCTAGAAAGTGGGGGGCCTTGAGTTCTAGTCCTGCCTTAGCCATGAAAACCAATGGAGTGACTTTGGGCCAATCACCAGGAGACGGGGAGTTCTAGTCCCGCCTTAGCCATTAAAGCTATCTGGGTGACTTTGAGCCAGTCACTCTCTCTCTTAGCCCAACCCACCTCACAGGGTTGTTGCTGTGGGGAAAACAGGAAGGTGTGTTGGATAGGTTCACCACCGTCAGTTATTTGTGAAAACAATACAGTTGAGATACAAATAAATAGGTATTTGCAGAAAGGTAGCTATGGAGGAGCCAGGAAGCAGGAACGGGTCCACCTGCCCAGCTCTCTCACCTGGTCACTCACTCAACTCTGCAGCTCTCTCTCCCAATTTCTGGTTTATTTTGCTTTTCCCTCTGCTTTTCCCTCCCCCCCCCTCCAGCCAAATCACTGACCCGGAGACCTTCGCAGCATTCCTGCCCCTTTGATCTGCCCCACACCTGCTCAGTGAGCCGAGATGGGCTTGCAAGGGAACAGAACCGGTTTTCCTGCCCAGGGCTCCACACACACACACACACACACACACACACACACACACCCGCTGCTCTTCGCCAGGCTGACCAGAGTCCCTACCAAAGAGTTGCCTGTCCAGCTCAGTGAGGGCAGGTTGTGCATGAGGCTGCCGCAACAGCCACACACCCACCTGTCTAAAAGGTGCTCCTTTTTATTATTATTATTATTTCTTGGGGTCTTTTTTTTCCTTTGCAAAGAAAAAGAGTGAGAAGTGAAACCTTTTCAAAGAAAAACAAATAGCGAGGAAGTCCATTGGCCTTTTGGAGAGAAAAAAAAGAGAGAGAGGCACCTTTGCCACAACCATCACCTGGAAACGCTCCGTAGACTCACCTGCACACCGGCCCCAAACACACCCAGGCCGGGCAAAGGGCAGCGGCTCAACCCGAGGCTCCCCGGACGGGTCTCCAGCCTCCACCGCCCGGCCCGTCTTAGGCAAAGCGCTCCGGAGCCCGGGAGCCGCCAGGAGCAGAAGCCGCCGGGCGTCCCGAGGCGAGAGGGCGGCCCGTGGGCTTCTGGGCGGCCGGCCCAGCCCGGAGGTCGCCTCCTGGAAAAAGCTACCCGCTTCCCGGGCTTCTCCGGACAGGAGCGCGGCGGTCGCGCCTGCCCGCCGCTGCCCCGCGCGGAGGGACCCCGCAGCGACCGCGGAGTCAGGGATGCTGCGCGTTCCTCTCCTGGTGGTCCCCTTTCCCCTCGGGCTGCGGGCGCTCCAGGCAGGCGCCCCTTCCCCTCCCCTCCCTCCCCTCCCGGTCCCCGCGCGGCGCCCACCTTCTGGTCCACGATGGAGCAGGCCAGCTGCTTGACGTGGGCGAGGTCGCAGGCGGCGGGCAGCAGGACGTACTCGCGGGTCAGACCGATCTGCAGCTGGAAGGAGACCCCGGCGGGGGGCGCGGCCGGCGGGATCGACTCGGGGGCGGCCGCGGAGGTGGCAGCGCCCGCGGGGGCGGCGGGCAGGGAGGCCATCCAGGCGCCCGCGGGCCCAGCTGCCTTCCCCGCCCTCTCTCCGTCTCCTTCTCTCTCTCTCTCTCTCCTTCTCTCTCTCTTTCTCTCCCTCTCTCTCTCTCCTTCTCCTTCTCTCTCTTCCTCTCCTTCTCTCTTCCTCTCCTTCTCTCTCTCTCCCTCTCCTTCTCTCTCTTCCTCTCCTTCTCTGTCTCTCTCTCTCTCTCGCTCGCTCCCTCTTTCTCTCCCTCTCCCTCCGTCCCTCTCTCCTTCTCTCTCCCTCCCTCTCTCTCCCCCTCTTTCTTTCTTTCTCTCTCCTTCCCTCTCTTTATCTCCCTGTCTCTCTCTCCCCCCCCCACCCAGGGAGAGTCTGGCTGGGGCCCTCCGGCCTCTCCAGCGACCGGGACGCGACTCCGAGGAAACGGCAGCAGCGCCCGGCCCGCCGGACAAACTTTTGTCGCTCCTCCGCTGCCGCCCCCCCCCCCGCGCGCCTTCTTTCCCCCGAGGAGGAAGTGCGTGGAGTGACAGGCGGCGCGGCCAATGGCGAGCCGCGAGGATGAAGTCACGGAGCCCGCCCCGTCTCTCCGGAGGGGAGCCGGAACGAGCCGCGCGCGCCCGCGGGGAGGAAGCGCCGCCCTGGGGCCGCGCGGGGGTCCCTTTGCACCGGCCGGGGTGGAATGGGGGACCAGGAGAGGCTGACCACCACCCCACCACCCGCTCACCAGGGTCTAGGACCTGGACTTGGAGCTGGTGGTGCCCGCGAGCATGTGCAGAGTGCAATTTCTCGCGGCCAAGCCCAATCCCGTCCCGCACCCGCGGCTGATGAAGGGATGGGTGGCGCCGTCGAGGAATTTCAATCTTCTGCTTGCTTTAGCGGGACTGGGCTCATTTTGGAAACGCACAACACAACAATAAAAGGTTATCTTATCTTATCAATTGCTCAAGTCTAACTTGCCCGCGTTAGGCACAGATCGGATGGCCGGGTTGCGAACTGAACTCGGAAACTGATTCACACGTTCCTGATTGTTTTCGTTTCCTCCCGCCCTGGCGAGAAATTCCGGTTTTGTTTTTTTTTTTTAAACTCTTGACATCTGGAGCCAAAATAACCCTGGGGGTACTCCACCTTGACTTCGGCGACCCCTCCCCAAGTCTTGGCTTCTGAGTCTCCCCTCTTTTTAAAGGGAGGGGGGCATTTGGTCCGGGTCAGACCCGGGAAGGGATCCGGTCCAGAATAGCCCCTGTCCACCGCCTGCCAGTTGGCCAAAGATTGCCTTAACACCCCACTTGGCGGGGGAGCAACGGAGAAATGCATGGGGGATGTTTGGGGGGGCAAGATTCCCTTCCCCCATCTCATCTGGACCCCCTCTCCCATAGCCCTGTTAGCAAAGGACTATAGGATTTGTAGTAAGAACCCATCTATACCCAAATACGTGAAGGAAAGTGGTACGACAGTGAGCTAGGGGAGGCGTATAAATTTAATTGGTTGATCGATCGATCGATGGATTCCTGGCTCTTGTTTAGACGCTGTAATGCCTCTACCGATGACTTGGGGCGTTTGAGACACAAAAGTCTTCCCACCAAGACTCAAAGGGAAGATGTGATCATAAGAAATCGCTCTCCAGCTCTTCTTCCCGGAATGGAAGACTTGAGTCATCCGAACGGGAACAGGTGTGGGAACTCAGGTGTGGCCTTTTAGTAGCCAGGAGACCCAGCTCCCCCTTGTCAAAAACGCCTTGGGAGACTTTGGAGACCACCCTGCTTCAGAGGGTGGAACACAGAACATAGAATCCTAGCGCTGGAAGGGGACCTCGGAGGTCTTCTAGTCCAGCCCCGGCTCAAGATAGAGGATCTTATACATTCCCTGTCAAATGGATGCCTGGTCTATTGTTACATTCTATGTTCTACACCAATTCTGTAAATGTCTTTCAAATAGATGTTTACTACATTTACAGAACACCGAAAAAAAAAGGGCTGGAAGGGACCTAGAGGTCTTCTAGTCCACCCCCCCCCCACTCATGGCAGGAGATCCTTGTGCTTGCTTTTTGGGGAAAACAAGGTGGGAGGGGTGTGTGTGTGTGTTAGAGAATGACCACACCTTCTGCTCCTGAACAAAAAGGTGGGATGAAAATGCAACCCAAGGATCAATGAAACTAATGTCATGTTTTGAACTCATGACTTCAGAGCGATGGAAAGAAGCTTCTGAGAATAGTTGGCATGTTCTCAGGCCTCCTCTGTCCTCACAGCCTGGCAGGTTTTCTAACCAGGCAGAAGAATGCTTGCTTTCCATAAGCCAAGATCTAGTTCCTTATAGCTTGCTTTACGGTTCGTCTAGGACAGTGTAGGTAGGTCAAGCTCAGCGCCTTTAAGATGGCTGGACTGCCGGAGGAATTCTGGGAGTTGGAGTCCATCCATCTTAATCTTTCATTTAAACTGGCGGCATCTTCTGTTAAAAAAAGGTTTGGTTCAAAAAATCCAGTCAGTTTGGTCTAGTCCAGGGGTAGGCAGCCTTGGCTCTTTTATGACTCGTGGACTTCAACTCCCAGAATTCCTGAGCCAGCTGGAATTCTGGGAGTTGAAGTCCACGAGTCATAAATGAGCCAAGGTTGACTACCCCCGGTCTAGTCCTTAGGGCACCAGGCAAGAAACCAGGAGACGGTGAGTTGTAATCCCACATTAGCAATGAAAGCTGGCTGGGTGACTTTAGGCCAATCACCAGGAGACGGTGAGTTCTAGTCCAGTGTTTCTCAACCTTGATAATTTTAAGGCATGTGGACTTCAACTCCCAGAATTCCACAGCCAGCATTGCTGGCTGTGGAATTCTGGAAGTTGAAGTCCACATGCTTGAAAATTGTCAAGGTTGAGAAACACTGGACTAGTCCAACCTTAGCGATAAAAACATGCTGGGTGCCAATTACCAGGAGGCTGGGAGTTCTAGTCCCGTCTTAGGCAGGAAAGCTGGCTAGGTGACACTGGGCCAATACAAAAGTCGACTGGGTAACTTTGGGCCAATCCCCAGATGGTGAGTTCTAGTCCCGCCTTAGGCACAAAAGCCAGCTGAGTGAGTGACTCTGGGCCAGCCCCTCTCTCTCAACCCAACCTACCTCACAAGGTTGTTGTGGTGGGGAAAACAGGAGAAGGAAGATGTCTTGGATTATCTTCGCTGCCTAATTTGTCAAAATAGTAAAAGCGAGATACGACCCAATCGATTCGGACCGCCTTTCTTGGCAGACCTTCGCTTGGGGCCTCTTCCGATGCAGCCAGTCCTCTTGAAGGAGGCCCGAAGGCTGCAGCTGCCAGATATCCGAGAGCTGTTCCTGGAAGCTAAGGAGGGGCGGTTTGGCTCCGTCTTCCTGTCTGCCTTGGAAGAAACATCCTGCTGGAGAGGCTACCCAGATTACGCCCCTGGGCAGCGTGGTTCCCACAGCCTGGAATGGGGCTCTCCCTGCATGCCAGCCCTGGGTGTGAAGCCTCTTGGGCTCTCCTTCCCAGTAGCTTTTTCGAAACAAAGACAAAAAGCGATCGATAAATATAAACTGCCTTGACTGCACGCGGTCCTCGACTTACGACAATTTCTGCTGCTAAGCGAGACACTCTTTAAGTGAGCCTTGCCCCGTTTTATGACATTCCTAGCCACAGTTGCTAAGTGAATCACTGCAGTTGTTCAATTAGCCACCCGCTGGTCGAGTGGTTCCGGCTTCCCTCGTTAACTTTGCTCGTCAGAAAATCGCAGAAGGGGATCAGGTGTTCCCCGGGACCCTGCAGCATCCCCCTGGTCACGTGATCAAAATTCACAGGCTTGGCAGCTGACTCGTATTTATGGCGATTGCAGGGTTCAGGATCCCCTCTTCTCACCCTGATGAGGTTACCCACTCGGGTCGTGAAATGTCTGCAAAAAAAAAAAAAAAAGAAAAAGCCCAGAGAGCACCAAGGACCCCCGAGTCTCCTTCCACAATCTGCACTCTCTTCTGGCGCAGAGGGTGCTCCTTAATTGGGTAAAACAACCCTCCAGCTCAGAGCCCACCGAAGACCCCCCCCCCAGTTCAGCCCTGAGCCACAATGACTCCCCTCCTCTCCTGCTGCTGCTGAAAAACAAGGCGGGCAGCCGAGGGAGGATGAAGCAGTCAAACCAGCCGAAGCAGCAGCTCCACCTGCCCAAAGACACCCAAAGGGCCCTGGCAGCCAAAGCAGGTCCGACAGGGTGCCACCCTGAGGGCACCGCTCGCTTGTTGGATGCCCCAGCCCAGGAAGCCTTCCTGAGCCAGGTGCAGCGCCTGGCAGGCCGTGCCACGCTTCATTTCCTAAAGCCAAAACCGATGAGCGCTCCAGAGAGCCATGCCCAGGGTGGGGTGGGGTGGCAGGGGAGCAGTTGCACGCCAAGCTGGCTCAGGGCATGCCCCCTCCTGCTTCTCAGGGCCTGAATTTCAGCAGAATGGGAGAACAGAACGGGAAATCCTTTCCCCGCGCATGGCAGGGTGTTTGTTTGTTTGAAAAAAATAGGGTTGCTATTTCAACCACAAGAGGAAACAGGCGGCAGGGTGATAACTAACCATGTGCAATTCAGAGAGTTGGGTTCCTATTTATCTTAAGGCAGGGGGGTCTGCAAACTTGGCCACTTTTAAGACTGGTGAACTTCAACTCCCAGAATTCCTCAGCCAGCCAAGCCAGAAGATAGAAAATTAGGATGGTGAATTCTAGTCCCGCCTGAGGCGTGAAAGCCATCTAGGTGACTTTGGGCCCATCACCAGGAGACGGTGAGTTCTAGTCCTACCTTGGGCATGAAAGCCGGCTGGGTGACTTTGGGCCAGTCTGTCTCTCTCTCTCTGAGCCTCACCCACCTCACAGGGTTGTTGTTGGGAAAACAGGAACGTGTGTTGGAATGCTTCCCCTCCCCCAAAACGGCACCATCCTTTTTAAAGGAAGAGAAGTGGATGGAAAAGTATTCCCAGGGTTGTGGGGGAGGGCTGCCTGCCCCTCCCCCAGAAGGAAAGAGCAGCCTGGCTCCCACCCATCTCCAAAGAAGTACCCTGTTTAGTTAAGCGAAACTGGTTTCCCCCCATTGACTTTGCTTGTCAGGTCGCAAACGGGGATCACATGACCCCCCCATGCAACCGCCATAAGTACAAGTCAGTTGCCAAGTGTCTGAGTTTTGATCACGTGACCACAGGGATGCTGCAATGGTTGTTAAGTGTGAAAAACAGTCGTCACTTTTTTCAGTGACCGATCAATTGTAACTTTGAACGGCCACCAAATTGTTGTAATTTCAATTGACTCCCTGTACAGAAAAATCCAACCCTTGAAACAGCCCTTGTGAATGGGTGTGCAACGGGCCTTGAACGTTGCAGAAAACCAGAAAAAAAAAAAGAGTTGCATATTCCGGCTCTTATTGCAAAACAATGACATGTTTTTTTTAATTACTTTTATTATTAATATTATTATTACCGAGGCAGTTTTTCCCTTTTTTTTTTTTTTTTGTGCCACATACAGTTCAGTTTTCGGATTAAAACAAGGCCCCAAATTATAAAGACAAGAAAGTTCAAATAAATATAGGAGAAAGCTAAATTGGCATTTAAAAAAAAAAAAAAAAAGCAAGCAGGCGTGCTCGGTTCATATCGATGAGCCCCACGGGGAGGAGGGGTGAATGGGAGAAAAAGGGGCGTGGGGGGAGAGGCCAGTAGTGAGTCTCGGGGGGGGGTGGATTTGGGGTGTGCATGACACGGCTGCTTCTTGCCTCTGAAGTCAGCCCCTCCCTCTCCCACCCCCGGGCCCGAGTTCAAATGGGACGTTTTTTCCTTTTAAAAAAAGACCGGGTTGGTGCGTAGAAACTATCACACAGTGATAATGAGGTTGTGGTTATTTCAGGATCAGCCCTTCGGAGTGCTGGGGGGGGGGCATTTTTTCTTTTCAAACCTTATTTTTCTCAACTGTACAGAATATATAAAAAACAAACCAGGAAGACCCAAATACCCACCCCGAACGAAAAGAGATAAAACATCTAAAAAGTGAAACCCAAACTGGCGTGGTTTTTTTCTTTTCTTTCTAAAACTTACTTCCAACTGCAGGGAGGGGGGGTGTCTTTCCAAACAGCTTGGGTGATATTTATAGGGAGGGAGGGGTGGGGCTTATAAGGGCAAGACGGAGGTCAGAGTTGGGAAATCAAAGCCCATTGATGTGCATTTAAAAAAAGGGACAGGGTTTTGATTCCTGGTGGTGCTCGCTCCCTTGACTTTTGGGACCCCTCGCTGCAGATATGACCAAAATTGCGTAGATGTATGCCAGCGCTTTGAAGAACCGCCTGGGTCTCTTTTCATAGGTTTCCCAGGCCAGGAAAAAGGGTAGAGGCTCTTAGCTGCCTACCCCAGCTTAGTGTGTGGCTGATTTGGGGCAACAGAGCAGATGTGCTACAGAAAATGGGGGGCGCCCCTTCCCCATCCTTGAATCTACAAGCTGCCTTCGTTTCTTTCCGAACCTTGGATTAAACCTGGTTGCCAAACTGACATATTTAGCGACCAGGTGAGAAAATAAACCTATCTCCAACCTGGAGTCTTTCCCGACAGCCCCAGGTTTAAAGAAAGTCATCTTATAGTGTATGGATCGGCCCCCCAAATAATGCCCCCTCTCTAATAAAGTCTCCCATGGGGGGAAACGTGCATCTTGCTTTAAACGGTCACCAGGCCTGCCAGTTTCCTTGCTTGGAGCAAAAACTTGCCCCCCCTCCGACCGAGTTAGACAGAGGACAGCAGAAGCAAGAATCTTAAGAGGGAGGGAGGGGGGCTTTATTGCTAGAAAGGACCCTCCAGGCAAGCTGGGCAACTGAAGGGGGGCCCTGGACGTCAGTGGCTTTGAAAGAAGAGGCAATGGGAACATTATTACATAGTTTCTCAAGCTTACCAACGTTAACACACGTGGACTTCGACTCCCAGAATTCCCCAGCCAGTGGGACTCCAAGTCCACGTGTGTGAAAGTGGCCAAAACTGAGAAACACCGTGGATTGCTGGCTTCCAGGCGTCAAATCTGGTGGCTGCCAGACCTTCTGCAGGCATGCAGCCCACCCACCCGCTTAGAAGCAAGCACCCCTTCCTCTTAGCCCAGGACGAGGCCATCCAGCCACTTTTACAATCCCCTCCCCTCCCTCTCAATGTTCTTTCCCCAAACTTTTCACCCTCCTCATCACCCCCTTATTCATCACATGCTCAGAGCCCCCTTCTCCTGCCCACAAAGCCCACCGCCAGCAAGGAGGGGAAGAAGCCGGGATGTTTCGTCACTAGCAGGGGAGACCAGCATGGGCTGGTTGGCTGGTCAATCCTGCTCCCCTCCTTCTGGACCCCTTCTCTTACCTGCCCCCTTCAGAACGGGGGTCTCCAAACGTGGCCCCTTTTTAAGACTTGTGGACTTCAACTCCCAGAATTCTTCGGTGGCTGGGGAATTCTGGGAGTTGAAGTCTACCAGTCTGAAAGGGGCCAGGTTTGCAGACCCCTGCTTTAGAATAACGGCAAAAGCAGAGGAGACCCCCGCCCAGATCTTCAGCCTCTTGCAGGATGCCTGCCTGGGAAATGGGGGTGCAGGGGGTTGGAAGAGAATGACACCCCGTCTCCTCTTCCCAAGATCGCTGCCGCTGAGCGAGGCGTTCCCCAGGGGTGCAAATCCGGAGGGGCTGAAGAGGTGGAGGAGAGGCAGAACGAGGGGATCCCCGTGGCTCAGAAGGAGCAAACGTTGGCACTTGATTTCCTTCCGGCTCTTGAGCCCCGAAGCCCCCGCTGTGGGGCCGGAGGACGAGTCAACGGCCTGTTCGCATTTTGTCCACCTTCGGGAAAGAGTCTGTGCGGCATCAAACCGGCTCAAAACCTTTGAAAAAAATGTCCTTGGCCAACTGAGCTGAGAAGGGGAGAGACTGAAATGCCCCTCCCTTTCCCAAGGAGGCAGAGGTTTCGTGTGTGGGGAAGTCCAGATGCCCCTCCTCAAGCTACTGGAATGGGGGGGGGGGAGGAAATGTTTTTTTTTTCCACTCCCTGAGCTGGGAAATAAAAACCACAGGGGCCATGAAATGAGTGGAAAAACAGAGATTTCAGTGCTGGTGAAGAAGGTGAGCTCTGAGTTCGAGGAAGGAGCCGTGGCTGGCCCCTCGTGCTGTCCAGCAGGCATTGGTCCCGAGCTCAGGGGAGACAGGGAGGGGTCCCGGCAGGTGAGGGACGCGCCGTCGTAGCACCGCTACCGGGCCGGAGAAAGAAGGCAGCGGAAGAGCCAGGAATCCTGGGAAGAGGAGAAAGAAAGAGGCTTGTGAAGAAGCCCGGAGGGGGCGAGGGGGGGGTGTTTCCTAACAGCCTGAGAGAATACAGGTAGACCTTGACTTACAACAGTTCATTTAGCGACCACTCAAAGTTATAACGGCATTAAAGAAAAGGGACTTATGACCGCTTTTCGCACTTACGACCGGTGCAGCTTCGCGACGGTCACGGGATCAAAATTCGGACGGGGCAAAATTCACTTAACTGGCTCACTTAGCAACAGACATTTGGTCGTTAAGTCAAGGACTACCTGTAACTGAGTCGGAAGGGACCTCAGAGGTCCTCTAGTCTGACCCTCCTGCCCAGATGCTGCCTGTCTCCTCTCCCCCCCCCCCACCGAGACAGGGCCTACCTGCCGGCCTGCCTCCCCTTCAGATGAAGACCTTGGCCAGGGCATCGGCGCCCGCGCTGGCGATCAGGGCCTTGCTGGGGTGGAAGGCCACGTCGTGAATGGCTTCCTCGTGCTTCTTGCGGTGAGCCGTGATCTCCTGCGTGCAGGTCTTGTTATCCAGGTTCCACAGCCGCAGCGAACAGTCGTGGCCTGTGGGAGGAGAGCAGCTGGAAGCACCCACAACCACACCCAGAGTTGCGCACCCACGCAATGCAAGACCCTCCTGGGCTCCCAGGGTCTTCCTCCTTTCCTGGCACGGCCACTCGGGCAAAAACCAAGAGCAGGGCTGGCCCTCTGAAGGCCAAACGGCTCCTTCTTAAGGGAGGACTCAGACGGGGCTGTCAGCATTTGAATCCAAGACTTGGGACTTGTCCAACACAGGGGGGAGGGGCAATTGATTTATCCAAGAGGCCACACGAGAAACCAGGATGGTTCCAGAGGATGGAACCAACAGGGATGTGAAGGTGTGTAGGCACACACAGACAGGTGTCCTTGACTTACAACTGTTTTATGTAGTGAGTGTTTCAACTTACAACAGCGCTGGAAAGAAAAGTGACTTATGACCGTTTTTCAGGCTTACGACCGTTGCAGCATCCCTCTGATCACTGGATCAAAATTCAGATGCTTGGCAACTGACTCCCATTTACGACGGTCGCAGTGCCCTAAGGTCACGTGGTCCCCTTTGGCCACCTTCGGACAAGCTGAGTCAACGAGGGAAGCCCGATTCACTTAACCGCCGTGTGGCTAACTTAAAAAAACTGCAGTGATTCACTTAACCGCTGTGGCAAGGCAGGCCGTAAAATGGGAGAAAACCCACCTAATGACGGTCTCGCCTAGCAACAGAAATTTTGAACTCTGTTGTGGGTGTAAGTCGAGGAGTGCCTGGATATCAACGGGAAAAAGGAGCCGTCGCCTTCAGAATAAATCCGTGTGCGCGGAGTGCCCTTGCTGACCCCTGGTTTCCAACTCCTTAGGCCAGCTGGACAAGGGCAGCCAAAGGGGCCTTCAAATGCCCCGGCCGGCTCCGACAGAAGCCGAGGACCTGCAGACCTTACAGCTTCATCCCTCCCGTTTGTTGTTCTGAACGGCACTTGCGAAGTCGGCTGCGAGGCTCGTTTCTCTGCCCAGGAGAGAAAGGAAGCGAGCAGGTACCTACTTCCTGACATGAGGAAGACTCCGTTGGGATCCACGGCGAGGCAGGTAACCGCATCCAGGTGGGCCACCATAGAGTGCACGACTTTTCCTGGGCAGAGAGGGAGGGGAAGAGTGATCAGGGCTAGACCGGATCCTGAAGGCTTTCTTTTCCAGCCCTGAATGGGGGTCGCTGCTTGTTCTTGTGAAGGAACCAGATAAAGGAGGATATCTGAATCTCAGGCTTGAAATTCAGCTCATTCCTTACTAACACTGATGATGTTGCCTAGTTGGGTCATGAAACGTCTGCAAGAAAACCACCCAGCTCAGAGAGCACCCAGGAGCCCTTGAAGGAACCGGAGGGCCCAAGCCCCCCCTTACCTGTCCGATTGTCTAGGAAACGGATCCCTCGGTCGTCGTGCGCGGTGATCGTGATGGACTGGGTGGGGTGGCTCACCACCTGGTTGATCTGACTGGCGCCTGGCCGAGGGCAAGAGAAGGGCGTGAGCTCTGCTTCCAGAACTAAAGACACTTCCTTCATTTTAGAACGCAACCCGCCCGGCTAAAATTCACACAACAGCCCACAACTCCCCCCACCACACCACCGAAAGCCCTTCCCTCGGGAAACCAGCCTCCCCCTCGTCATCCACCCGCCCCAACTCACCAGGGGCAGGTCTGCTCTCGAACGCCAGGACAGGGCAGGAAGCCTCCACGTCGTAGAGCAGCGCCCTGCCCGTCTGGAAAGCCGCCACCACCCGCGTGGCATCGGTGCTGGAGAAGGCGACGGAGGTGGGGCTCCCATTTTCTGCAGAGGAGGAGCAGCAGGACCGGGGGGAGGTCAGCCCCCGAATGTAATAATAATAAAAGTAGTATTCTGATTTTTAACTTATTGGTAGTCCTTGACTTACAACCATTTATTTATTGACCATCTGACATTACAACAGATTTGTAACTTATATTCAAGGATGTTTCAACCTTGTTAACTCTCAGGACTCTTTTTTTCCACTATGTATTCTAAACGGTCTGTGATTATTCTATCCATCCATCCATCCATCCATCCATCCATCCATCCATCCATCCATCTATCTATCTATCTATCTATCTATCTATCTATCTACATTTATATCTGTCTGTCTCCTATCTATCTATCTATCTATCTATCTATCTATCTATCTATCTATCTATCTATCTATCTATCTACATTTATATCTGTCTGTCTCCTATCTATCTATCTATCTATCTATCTATCTATCTATCTATCTATCTATCTATCTATCTATCTATCTATCTACCTAAGAGCCGAGGTGGCGCAGCAGTTAGAGTGCAGTACTGCAGGCCACTTTAGCTGACTGTGTTCAGCAGGCCAGCGGTTCAAATCTCACCGGCTCAAGGTTGACTCAGCCTTCCAGCCTTCCAGGGTAGGTAAAATGAGGACCCAGATTGTTGGGGGAAATGTATATATATATACATTGCTTACTGGTGTACACCGCTTAGAGAGTGCTTGCGGTGTATAAGTCTCATAAATAATAAATAATATCTATCTATCTATCTATCTATCTATCTATCTATCTATCTATCTATCTATCTATCTATCTATCTATCTATCTACCTACCTACCTACCTACCTACCTATCTGTATTGTGTATATGACACAGAGAAACATCACAGTCTAGTTCGAATGCATACATGTGCATGGTGAAATACACACATCTTGTCTTATCTCAAAGGATGGAGTTTGCATCACCCCCTTATGGTGCCTGCAGAGCCCCGTGCGCCCCTCTGCAGAACCCGCACCCAGACCAGCTCACCGCTCTCCGCATTGTAGGTGCTGAGACAGGAGCCGCTGCAGGGGTCCCATATCCTCACAGTGCCGTCCGCCGAGCAGGAGGCCAAGCGGTTCCTGGAGAGACTGAACGCCAGGCTCCAGACGGCATCCGTGTGGCCGTCCAGGACAGTGTGGAGCACACTCGGATCTAGGCCACAAGGAGGGAGAGAGAGAGAGAGAGAGACGGTGTCTGCCACTCTTCGCTTGTGCAGACGCCTCGCAGCAAACGAGGGGGGACCAAGGAGAACACCAGGCCCTTCGGGTGGGAACGTGAATTCAGAAGCAGGGAAAGACGGTTCTGCCTGCCAGCTGCTCAGATGTGTTCAGACCGAACTAGCATAAAAGCCCGTTTGGTCTAGTGCTGAAGGAAGGAGGCTGGAAACCAGGAAGCAGTGAGTTCTAGTCTCGCCTTAGGCATGAAAGCCGGCTGGGTGACTTTGGGCCAATCGCCAGGAGACAATAAATTCACTCTTTCTCAGCCCAACCCACCTCATAGGGTTGTGGCTGTTGTGTGGCAAATAGGAGGAAGAAGGAATATTAGTTCGCTGCCCTATTTATAAAAATAACAAAGGCGGGATAAAAATAAAGTAAATAAATCTTAGTAATCAATAAACCATATTGACGAAGACAACTGCCGAACAACTGAACACGTAAAAAGGAACATTTAACTCAGTGGTTCTCAACCTTTTTAATGCCGTGACCCCCAACCGGTCGTAAGTCGAGGACTACTCAACCGGTCATAAGTCGAGGACTACTCAACTGGTCAGCACCGTTTGCAGAATGGGGCTTTTGGCGGGCTCAGCAGGGCAGAGACAGCCTGGACCATTCCTATTGGCCTTTGAAAGCCAATAGAATTAGACTCTGTTCAAGAGAGTCTATTCTATTGGCTTTCAAAAGCCAATAGAATAAAAGGGAGGAGCACAGCTAAGGAAAAGGGGGAAAAATGGCGGACTGCGTTGTTTGGCGACCCCCGTGAAATGGTCGTTCGACCCCAAATGGGGTCCCGACCCACAGGTGGAGAACCACTGGTTTAACTAAATGACGCAACAAACGGTTCCCCGTCTCCGAACCATCAACCCGACTCTGCATCCGACGTTTCCTTTCGGGATTCGACTCTGCAAGCCAGGAGGCGGGGGGGCAGGGGGGCTGCTGAAGCCGGGGAGTTTCCTACCGTAGCCGTCGTAAGGATCCATGCCCAAATCGGGGATCTTCCAGCAGCGGATCCTCGCATCCGATCCACCGCTGTAGCAGGATTCGCTGTTGCAACCCATGGCCACAGAGAGCACCGGGCCCCTTGGGAAGGAACCAAGGGGAAGCGTCAGGGAAGGACTCGGAAGAGGCGAGGAGGAAGCGCGTGTCCGAACGGCCTTCCGAAGCCCGATTCTCAGGAATCTCCAGGTTTCTTGGGAAGATGGTTCTGTTGCCTTCTGAGGTTCTGTTCCCCGTTTCCCCCCTCCCCCCCGTTAGTCAGGGCATGGGCTTTGCTTGTCAGGTCGCCAAATGGGATCCTGTGATCCCGGGATGCTGCGACCGTCATAAATACGAGTCAGTTGCCAAGCGTCCGAATTTGGGTCACGTGACGTGGGGAGGCTGCAAAGGTCGTAAGTGGGAAAAACAGCCCTAAGTCCCTTTTTTCAGTGTCGCTGTAACTCCGAACGGTCACTAAATGAATTGTTGTAAGTCAGGGATGCCTGCATTTTCCTGCATCCTAGAAAAAGCCCCCCCCCCACCTCAGCCGAAGAGCTGAAGAGCCGAGGTGGCGCAGCAGTCAGAGTGCAGTACTGCAGGCCACTTTAGCTGACTGTGTTCAGCAGGTCAGCGGTTCAAATCTCACCGGCTCAAGGTTGACTCAGCCTTCCATCCTTCCGGGGTAGGTAAAATGAGGACCCAGATTGTTGGGGGGCAATGTAAATATATATATACATTGCTTACTGGTGTACACCGCTTAGAGAGTGCTTGTACTTAAAGTGGTATATAAGTCTCATAAATAAAATAAATAAATCTGCGCACCTGTGTCCTCTGAATGCGTAGACCGGTTCCACATCCAAAGCGGCGTTCCTGTAACCGGAAGAGGAGAGAGAGGACCAAACAATATCAGAGGGGTCATCTCGATTTGGTCTTTTTTCCCCTGGCCATCCTGTCGGTTTCCGGGGGCTCCAAGGGGTCTCCCCGCCTGGCCTGCAGCAGCCTAACGTCAGCAGAGTGGAATCAAGCGGGGCCAGTGGATCGAGGGCTCAGCTAACCCGTCCTTCCCCAACCTGGCGCCCTCCAGACCTCCTGTGGCTCCTGTCCTGTCAAAAAGCCTCGCGGGGTTTAACCGGCTGGCGCTCGGCCTGTAACACATCTCGACAGTAGAAATCCTTCGGCAGAAGTCATGGCATCCCCACAGAGGGGCCCAGGGCCCTGCTCCAGTGAAAAGGCAGGGGGAGACCCTTCTCTGCCTCCACCCTATGGAACATCTTGACCCCGCAGGTGATGTGGGGCCCCACGCGCCTGGTCTTCCAGAAGAGCATGAAAACCTGGCTCTGCCAACTGGCCTGGGGTGCGAAGGGTGCCCTCCAATCCCTGGGGGTGGTTGGTGGGCTGAAGGTGCTTCCTCTGCCTTTGGACTCTGCCGTTTTTTTAAACTTTGTTTTAATCTGGGTTCTAATTGTGATTTTAACTATAGATTTTACACAATTTTACTGATGTAAAACTGCCCAGAGACACAGAAGTGTGGTGGGTGGTACAGAAATTTGATAGATAGATAGATAGATAGATAGATAGATAGATAGATAGATAGATAGATAGATAGACGGACAGTCAGACAGACAGGATAGTGATGATAGATAGATAGATAGATAGACAGACAGATGGACGGACAGACAGACAGACAGGATAGTGATGATAGATATAGATAGATAGATAGATAGATAGATAGATAGATAGATAGATAGATAGATAGATAGATAGATAGACAGATGGACAGACAGACAGACAGACAGGATAGTGATGATAGATAGATAGATAGATAGATAGATAGATAGATAGATAGATAGATAGAGCTAGACAGACAGACAGATGGATGGAGAGACAGAGAGAAAGAGAAGAGATAGATAGTATCTTTATTTTTTATTTTATTTATTAAATTTTTATGCTGCCCATCTTCCCAATAAGGGGACTCAGACAGAGAGACAGACAGGATAGATATAGACAGACAGAACGGAGGGAAGTAAGTAAGTTAGTTTCCCTCGGGGCTCACTTTTTGGCAGCCACGGTCTTCTGAAGGTTCCACAGCTTCAGAGTGCCATCTTCCGAGGCCGTGACCAAAGCCGACTCCCGGTGGTGGAAGACCAGGGCTCGAATGCCATCGTAGTGACTCCTCAGGGTGAATTTGGGGTTCCACGTCTTCTTAAAAGCATCTTTGCTGTCCGAGAGCTGGGAAAGGGGGAGAGAAAAGACTCAACACCCGGGGCTTCCCGCAGGCAACCTTCCCCCCGCCCTGCAGACCCCTCTCTTTTGGCCCACCCAACAGCACAGGGGGGCTGAAGTGAAATGTGCAAGAGGACAAGTCAGGCAAAGGGGAGTGTCAAGAATACCAGATGCCCCTCCAAGGCTACTCACATCGCAGCTCAGCTCATTGTCGTTGGTGACGGTCAGGTCGGCAAGGTCGCCCAAGCTGACCTCCCCCCCTCCGATGGTGTCCATGATAAAGACGTCTGAGGAGAAGCCCAGCGACCCTGATTTGGGGAGAGGAAAGGACAGCGTTCGGACGGGGCTGGGTGGAGGAAGAGATGCCTTGGGCAGAACGACGGAAAAGGGAAATCGGAGGCCGTAAAGCGTGGGGTCTTCCAACTTGGCCACTTTAAGACTTGTGGACTTGAAGTCCACAAGTCTTAAAGTGGCCAAGTTGGAAGACCCCTGCCGTAAAGTGTGGGGGTCTAGCCAAGCCGTCACCTTCGTGGGATCTGGGCTGGGAAGTCATGGCTGACGGGATGGAAGGCTTAGGAGAGAGTCCATCCACGTTGCGGAGATCAGCCAGCATCCCTTGCAGCTTCACCCGGCGGGGCCCTGGAAGACAGGCAGGGAAGGGAAACTGAGTCAGCCTCTACGGTTGCCAATCAGGCACTCTTTTGAAATTCAGGGAGCACAAAGGGGTCACCAGAGACAACGCAGGCAGGCCTCGGCTTGTGACAGCTGAGCCCAAAGTTTCTGCTGCTAAGCAAGACAATGGCTGAGTTTTGCCTCGTTTTACAACCTCTCTCTCTCTCTCTCTCTCTTTTTCTTTCTTTCTCTTTCTTTCTTTCTTTCTTTCTGAATCACTGCCGTTGTTGTTGTTAAGTCAGTAACAGGGTAGTTAAGGGAAGAATCTGACTTCCCCGTTGACTTTTGCTTGTCAGGCAACTGCAAAAGGGGATCACGTGATCTCGGGACCTTCCAACCATCATAAATATGAGTCAATTGCCAAGCATCCGGATTTTGATCACGTGACTCTTTGGATGCTGCAACGGTTCTAAGTGTGAAAAACAGTCATAACTCACTTCTTCCAGGGCTGCTATAACTTTAATAACAATAAAGTTGGAAGAGACCTTGGAGGTCATCTAGTCCAACCCCCAGCTCAGGCAGGAAACCCTATACCAGTGTTTCTCAACCTTGACAATTTTAAGGCATGTGGACTTCAACTCCCAGAATCCCAAAGCCAGCATTGCTGGCTGTGGAATTCTGGGAGTTGGAGTCCACATGCCTTAAAATTGTCAAGGTTGAGAAACACTGCCCTATACCATTTCAGACAAATGGCTGTCCAGTTTCTTCTTAAAAACTTCCAGTGTTGGGAGCATTCACCGCTTCTGGAGGCAAGGAGTTGATTAATTTTCCTAACTGTCAGGAAGTTTCTCCTTAGTTCCAGGTTGCTTCTCTCCTTGATTAGTTTCCATCCGCTGCTTCCTCTCCTGCCTTTGAATGACTGAACTTTAATGACTTTGAACGGTCATTAAATGAACTGTTGTAAGTCAAGGACTACCTGCAGCCTGAAATGATATAGGGTCTCCTGCTTGAGCAGGGGGTTGGACTAGAAGACCTCCGAGGTCCCGTCCGACTCTGTTATTCTGTTAATTTGGGTCTGGCGTCTCAGGCAGCCTCTCCTGTTCCCGATCTTCGGGCTCCCAGCAGCTTCAGTGGCGACGCAACAAGGCATCTGATGCAGCCCCCCCCCAGCCCCCCATTTAACTGCCTTCTCACCTTCCTACTTCCCGATGCCCTTCACGGAAAAAGAAGCAAGGAGACCATCTGCCGACTCCACAGAGAACTTACCCAGCTCATTGCCATCTCCAGCACACCGGCTGTCACCAGACCCTTCCCCGTTTTCCCCGGAGCCCAAGAAGTGAAACTCGCTCAGGGCATCCTCCGAATCTTCATCGTCATCTTCGTCCTCCACTTCGGGCATGGGGGGCTTGCTGGCGAGCTGCCAAGAAAAGCATGGCCAGCAGAGCTGGGTTAGAGCTGCTTCCCTAATCCACGTCTAGGGGATTCCACCAATTTGGCCACAGAAAAGCAGTTTGGGGTCTGGCACACGAGGGGAGGTGACGAGGCTGTAAAATATGCCTTGTGCCCCAAATCGAACGGAAGGGGAAAATGTCCCTGATAAGGCCTCCTAATTCTCAGGATTCCCCTGTTGTGAAGCTGCAGTGCTTCTTCAGTGAACGAGGGCTACCTCGGTGGCAACAGGCTGATATTTTGCCTTTTACACTTGAAAACTAAAGGAATAAATTAAAACATCGCACAAACAGCAAAAGGCGTGACTAACTGGACCCACGCCGTGATTGATATCCCATGCTTTAAAGCGGGAGGGTCCAGCCTTGGCAATTTTTAAGACTTGTGGGCTTCCACTGCCAGAAGTCCCCAGCCAGCATGAGCTGGCTGGGGAATTCTGGGAGTTGGAAGTCCACAAGTCATCAAGTTGCCCAGGTTGGACACCCCTGTTTTAAAGGAAAAACTCTTGATTAATAAACCAAACTAGGAACAGGCAAAACTTTCACGCCCTTGAACTGCTTCCAAAATGTGTCCAAAATGGCTGCTGTGGGCTGCACACTTCTCGCTCCAGGGGCAGCTTTGCTTTAGAAATTTGATTGCAATAGCCCAAATCCGGTTTCCATCCTTAACATGACAAGGTTCTAGTCCTCACCGGAGACTGGGCACCACTCAGCAGCATAGTCTCCTGCCTGCCTGCCTCCTGGTGCCTGCTTAAGCCCAGCAACCTCACAAAGAGCGAAGGGGATACCTTTACGCGCTGCTTCTTGTGCTGGCGCTGTGTTTCCAGGGACAGGCCTTCCAAATCTTCCTCTTCGTCGCTGTCGTCGTCCTCGCAGCCCCTCAAAAAGGGGATCTTCTCCATGACGGTGTGGCTGATCCGGTCCGTCGCCTCCTTCCCAGCGTTTCTGTCGGAAGGAAGAGAATATCTGTAGCTCAGGGTTTGACTGTGGGGTCCTCAGTGCTCTCTGAGCTTGGGGGCTTTCTAGCAGACGTTTCAGGACCCAACTAGGCGACCTCATCAGTGCTAGAAGGGGGTGTGTGTGGTGGTGGTGGTGGTGGAGTAGGAAGAGGAGGACTGTGTGATCCTTGGTGCGCTCTACGCTCATTGGTTTTCTTGCAGACATTTCATGACCCAACTAGGTAACATCATCAGTGCTAGAAGGGAGGGAATTTGCTGGAAGGAGGAGGAGGACTGTGGGGTCCTGGTGCTCTCTGAGCTTGGTGGTGTTCTTGCAGACGTTTCATGATCCTACTAGGTAACATCATCAGTGCTAAAAGGGAGAGTTGTGGAGAAGGACTGTGGGGTGTGCAGATATTTCATTACCAAGCTAGGTAACATCATCAGTGCTAGAAAGGAATAGTGAGGAGGAGGAGAAGGAGGACTGTGGGATTGTTAGTGCTAGCTGAGCTTGGTGGTTTTCCAGCAGACATTTCATTACCAAACTAGGTACAATCATCACTGCTACCACGAGCTCCTTAATGTCAGCATCAAACAGGAAGTACGAAGACAGACTGCGCGTACCCCACTTCCTTGTTCCAGGAAATCTAACAAAAGCAGCAGTGATGAGCACCCACAAAACAAGCGTCCCAGCGAGGTCATTCTAACCCAGACAGACGCCCCAAGCCGCTCACCTTTTGATCTGCTCCTCAATCTGCTTGACCAGAAGCGATTCGCCTCCGTTCAGGCTGGTGGCCCCCAGGGCTGGTCCGGTCCCCAGGCCGCTGGCTTTGGGGGCTCCGTTCAGCTCCACGGAGCAGCGACCCAGCAACGAGCGAACCCGCTTGGAGCGCATGTCCAGGATGGTGTCCGTGTAGCCCACTTCTTCCAAATACCTGGAGGGACCCCGGGGGTCCGAAGGAAAGGCGGCCCTTAGTCAACGGGCAGGTTGGCAACTGGTGGCCTCGAGGTCACCGAGGTAGTCCTCATTTTGCAGCCGTTCAAAGTTATGACAGGCCTCTCTGGAGGCACTGATGACCTGGTTCTGAACTTACGACAGCCGCATGCCCCCCCAATCAAGTGACCGCACCCTGGGTGCTCGGCAACCGGCCTGCGTTTACGTCCATTTGCAGCATCTCAGGGTTACCTGACTGTGTTTTGCCAAAGTTTTGCTGAAAACCTGCATTTACTTCCTCTTTTGGGTGACGTGGCCCGTAGCAAACCACTGGTTCGTTTAATGACTGCCACGAAAAAAGAAGTCTTAAAAATCAGATTGGACACGTGACTGGCCCGTTTTACGGCCATCCCGACTTTATTTATTTAGAAAGTTTATATTTAGTTATTTACATGACTTATGACCATGACAGGGCAGGCTCCATTCCAGTCGTAAGTGGAGGATTACCTGTGTTGGGCAAACCCTTGGAAAGAGCCCAGTTTTGATTCAGAGGGGCCTCGCTGAAGCTCAGAAGACACCCAGAAAAGGACTGGGGCCCTTCCAGAAAGGATGGGATCCCCCGTGTCAAATGCACACTTCATCAGGATGAAAAAGAACCTGGCACACTCCTTGTTAACGCTGACCCAAAAACAGCTGCCAAGGAGGCTGGGAGCCCAAAAACCCCCAGTGGGGAGGGCCGGTGCACTTCCCCTGCCTTTGCAGACACCCCCCCCCTTGAAATCCCCTCTACTCACTGGCGGAGGAGTTGGCGTCCTTCTTTCCAGATGAACGGGCTGTTTTCCAGGGAAAGGAGCTCGGCTGGCCCGTTGGACACTAAGCGTGGAAGAGAGGCCCATCAGCGAGTCCCTCGGCCCTGGAACCGGAATCCCCCCGGCCGAGGTGCAGACGTGAGCCCGGCCCCATTACCTGGTTCAGAGGTAAGCTCCGGTTTCTTTTCTCCCTGGTTCAGCTCCGTGCCAAATTTCAACTTGTGGTATTTTGACCTGGAGTTAACGAGGAAAACTTAGGAAAGGAGGTGGCATGTCGGCAGTAATTTCTCGCTGTGGCCCTCAAAGGAGGGGTCACAGCGAGGCAGTTTGACAGTGAAGGTGCCGGTTTAGAAACCAGGAGACTGGGCGTTCTAGTCCTCCCTTCAGCAGGAAAGACAGCTGGGGGACTTTGGGCCAATCACCAGGGGACGGTGAGTTCTAGTCCTGCCTTGGGCACGAAAGCCAGATGGGTGACTTTGGGCCAATCACCAGGAGACTGGGAGTTCTAGTCCTGCTTTAGGCACAAAAGCCAGATGGGTGATTTTGGGCCAATCACCAGGAGACTGGGAGTTCTAATCCCGCCTTAGGCTTGAAAACTGAAGAGGTGACCTTGAGCCAGTCCCTCTCTCTCACTCTAACCCACCTCACAGGGCTGTTGTTGTGGGGAAAATAGGCGGAGGAAGTTGCGTTGGATATGTTCACCGCCTTGAGTTACAAAACTAATAAAGGCAAGATAAGTGGTGAATAAACACATCCATATTCACATACCTACAGACCGTGAGGACATTCAAAAATAGAGTATCTTTCCCCTTCCAAAATTTGGGCGCTGACTTCCAGCTTAATAAATTAAAGCAGGGGTCCCCAAACGTGGCAACTTTTAAGACTTGGGGACACCAGCTCCTAGAATTCCCCTATGCTGGCCACATTTGGGGACCCCTGAACTAAGGGGTATCTCCCATCCCGCCTCCGAATCTCCACCTGCAAGGTGGCTCACCTTTCTTGCTTCAACGCATACTCCAGCATCTTGATTCTCCGCACAAGGTCGGCCTTCAAGTTCTCCTGCCCCTTCCTTTCCCCCTGCAGGAAAGCCACTTGGGCCTAAGAGAGGCAGGAAACCCCAAGTTAAGGGCAGGCTCTTCTGGCCAGCCGCGCAAATATACCACATCATGCAAAAAGAGTGCGTGAGGAGCATAAACCCTGTATCGGTGCATCCAGTTCCAATCACAAAAATACACATACACACACACACAAAAATACGCTGAGACCCTAGAAATTCTGCAGAGATGTTCAATAAAGAGGACAAGGGATCTGGAGCAGGGGTAGGCAATCTTGGCTCTTTTATGACTCGTGGACTTTTTTTTAGTAATAGTAGTAAAGTTGGAAGGGACCTTGGAGGTCATCTAGTCCAACCCCCAGCCGTGCTGAGGGGAAAGGGAGAGGATTCCAAGCTGAGCCATGCTGGCTCAGGAATCTGGGAGTTGAAGTCCACCAGTCCTAAAAGAGCCAAGGTTGCCCACCCCTGGTCTGCAGGCTAAAGTGTATGCTGAACGGTTGAGGGAGCTAGATATGTCTAGTGGGTTGAAGAGAAGGAATCAGGGGGACACGATAGCTGTCTTCAGTACGTGAGGGGCTGCCACAGAGAAGAAGGCATGGTCTTATTCTCCAAAGGAGGACAGGACAAGAAGTTAATGGGTGAAAGCTCGTTCAAGAGAGAGGTCCCACTATGAAGAAATTTTTGGACAGTGAGTATAATTAATTAATGGAGCGGCTTGCCTCCAGGGGTTGTGGGTGCTCCTCAAAAATAGACTGGAGAACCATTTGACCGAGATGGAATAAAGTCTCCTGCCTTGACCAGGAGGTTGGACTAGAAGGCCTCTGAGGTTCCTTCCAGCCCTAGGATTCTTTGTTCAGCGTAGTGCGAGAGAAACACTTCTGATCTTGGCATCAGCCTGCTTTTGCTACTTATGTCTTCCTTCTTATTTACTTAACTGTCCAGCCGTTACATGACTCGGATTGTTCATATGGCTTGAAACCAAAAAAAAACCCCATCACTTGAACAAGGAGGAAAATCTACTGTCCAGGTCTTGAGGGATGCTGGGAAATAAGCCAAGAGGCCAAGAAAAACCTCAGTGGCGTTTAGAAGCAAAAACTTAAATTGCAGTTAGTAAGTGGCAGTAAAAATGCAGATCTTCCTCTCTTGAGCAACCATGAAGAACGCTTCCACTGTTGCTTTGCATACTTCAAATTTTTACCATGTTTTTCATTTTTCACTGTCACATTTTCTCTCTTTAAAATGAAGGCTTTTATACAGGCAGCTCTCAACATGCGACCACAACTGAGCGCCAAAATTTACGTTGCTAAGTGACACGTTTGTTAAGCAAATTTTGCCCCCTTTTATGGCCTTCCCTGCCACAGCTGTTAAGTGAATCCCTGCAGTTGTTAAGATAGCAACACAGTCATTAAGCGAATCTGGCTTCCCTCATTGACTTTGCTGGTCAGAAGGCCACAAGAGAGGATCACGTGACCCACCCCCCGGGACGCTGCGACCGTCATAAATATGAATCAGTTGCCAAGTGTCTGAATTTTGATCATCTGACCTTGAGGTCGCTGCGATGGTCATTGAGTGTACAAATGGCCACAAGTCATTTTTTTCAGTGCTATTTAACTTCAGCCACTAAGTGAACTGCTGTAAGTCGAGGACAACCTGTATTAATTGTTGTACATCACCCAGAGTTGCTTCTTGGGGGACAGGCAGTGGTATAAATGGGATCAATGAATAATAAGTAATGGGTGTCCTTGAGCCTGTTTCCTTTCTAAAGTTTGACAGGGAAATCCGTGCTTGCAAATAGGAGTTAAGGTGAAAGGCTGGCTAATATCCAGCCTGCCTGCAGCCTTTCCTTTTTGGGTTGTTGTTCAGAGGCTGTGGAGGAAGCCGATCATTTGGATGTTTTCTGCTGGCTTTCAGGCTGGAGAAAGGCACCGATCACATTTGGGGAGGACCAGGACTCAGGTGATAACGGTCCATCCTTGTCTTCCTTGAACCTCCGTTTTCTACTAACCATCCCGGTCAAACTGTGGGAGTTGGAAGGCCAGCATTGGGGAGGGTCTCCTTGTTGGAAGGAAGAGATCCTTCAAGGAAAAACCAAGAAAGTCCATTGCCTCTTTAAAAAAAAAAAACACATCCTGGGTGGCTGAGACTCTCCAGACTGCAGTGTTTCTTAACCTTGACCATTTTAAGGCATGTGGACTTCAACTCCCAGAATTCCACAGCCAGCAATACTGGCTGTGGAATTCTGGGAGTTGAAGTCCACATGCCTTAAAATGGTCAAGGTTGAGAAACACTGCTCCAGAGACTTCAGTATAGCAAGGACACCCAGTTATAGCTTTCTACTCTGGGCTGACCGAGGGAGGCAAGACTGTTTTGTGTCTGGAGCCTGGGGTGGACTGGATGGGGAGGAGCAGGTTTTGGCTGGACCCTAACAAGAGCAAGACCGCCCAAATCTGGGGGTCTTTCATCATTGGTCCTCGATGAGGTGGCACTTCTTCAGACGGAAAGGGACACACAACCTGAGGGGTCCTTTGCGAGCTGCAGATGTATTTGTAAAGTTTACTTCCTCTGAAATAGGAGTCTCCTTTTCTGGAGAACTTTTTCCAGTGAGGCAATAGGGGTGACCAGAGACTTGATTGTTGTGAGGGAACACATGGTGCTCGGAGATTTGTGTGTGTGTGTGTGTGAGAGAGAGAGAGGGGGGGGGGGAGGGAGAAGGAAAGGGAGGGATGGAGAGAGAGAAGAGGGAGAAGGAAAGAGGGAGGGAGGGAGAGGAATCTTTCCATTATTCTACAGATATCTGAAAAAATGAGCATACCATGAAAGATAAGGCACTGTTCAGGTTTGCAGACTGCATTAAACCATGGTATGAACTAGGTTTGTCCATTGCATGAACCATGAACAGTTAGCTGAGTTCACATCACATCCAAAGGAAAAATCATAGAAAGCCCATTGCTGGCTTAGCACAATATGTGAATCACACCTACGAACAAAATCACTGCGCAAAGGGAAGGGAACTCGAGAGAAGCATCACGTGGACCCCCCCAGGCCAAAGGTTTGCTTCCAAGGGTAACCCTGGCATCTCAGGGCCAACCCACACCGAGCACAACCAGCGCTATCTCATCTCCACCTCGTGGCCAATGCAAACAGGCTTAGTGAGTTAATGATTACAGGCTGCACTAAGCAGGCAGTTAAAAGCGTCAGGAGGCTTCCCAAAACTGCTCTCGCAAATAAACTCTGGGACAGGACCCAGAGCCTCAGAAAGGAAGATATAGCACATTTTCTAGAATTAGGGTGGCTTAAAGAGATGATTTTGGTTTCGTTTCAGTGGGGCTTGAATCGTGGTCGACCACGCAGGGACGCACCCCTCCCTCCAGCTCTGACAGACAGAGGGTGCAAGGCTTTTTTTAATTGTTTCAAAAAGACTTGCAAAACTTGCTGGGCAAGGAATATGGCGCCAGGAAAAGCACGCTGGAGATCCCAGCTTCATAAATCCCGACGGTTGAGTTCACACCACCAAGACATACAGGCGGTCCTCGACCTACGGCCGCAACTGCGCCCAGGATTTCTGCTCCTAAGCAAGACGATTGTTAAGCGAGTTTTGCTCCATTTTACATCCCTTCTTGCCACAGTTGCTGAGTGAATCGCTGCAGCGGTTAAGTTAGTGCCACGACTGTTAAGCGAAGCCGGCTTCCCCCGGATTGACTTTGCTTGTCAGAAAGACGCAAAAGGGGATCACGTGACCTCGGGACGCTGCGACCGTCGTAAATACACATCAGTTGCCAAGGGTCCGAATTTTGATCACGCGACCGCAGAGATATTGCAAGGGTTGTAAATGTGAAAAACGGTCCCTAAAGTCATTTTTTCCAGTGCCACTGTTAACTTCAAACAGTCACAAAGCAAACGGTTGTAAGTCAAGGACTACCTGTAGTCAAAACCCTTTGAAAGGACCTCAAAGGATGGCCAGCAACTTGCACTTCAAACAGAATAGAGCTAGAAGGGACCTTGGAGGTCTTCTAGTCTAACCCGCAGCTCAAACAGGAGACCTGCCTGTACCATCCTGGATAAATGGCTGTCCAAGCTTTTCTTGAAAACCTCCAGTAATAGAGCACCCACAACTTCTGGTGGCAAGCTGTTCCACTGATTGTTCTGTTAGGAAATTTCTTCTTAGTTCCAGGTTGCTTCTCTCTTTGGTGAGTTTCCATCCGTTGCTTCTTGTTTGAGGACCCCCGAGGCCAATTGTGGGGAACCCTTTCTCTAGAGCAGGGGTAGGCAACCTTGGCTCTTTTATGACTTGTGGACTTCAACTCCCAGAATTCCTGGCTCAGGAATTCTGGGAGTTGAAGTCCACAAGTCATAAAAGAGCCAAGGTTGCCTACCCCTGCTCTAGATAGATCCTTCCTTGCTCAAAAGTCTGCCTGTGCCAAAGTTGTCTCCAGTCTTCAGTCAATCACACCCACTCCCATATTTGTACACGCTCTGAGATATAGAAGCACCGCACACGCCTTCTATATTCTCCACCGTCACTATGGCAGCAGGGGGGTGGTTGCTTCCCAACCGGTTTGGGGTGACGAGCTTTTCTCCCTAACTCTTGCAGATGCTCCTTTCTTTTAATACTTCCCTGATCTGCCACTGAGTAGGTGCCTGCAACATTTTCCTGCTTACCCCACTCCATCACTAGCTTGGGGGGGGGGAGGGCACGCTAAAGATGGGATATTTCATTGTCTTTCCAATACCAGATTCCAAGACAAAAATGATAACTTCTTATTTACAGACTCGATACACCAAATTATCTGAGACTGTGTGAAAGCAGGACTTGGCACCCCATGCATGGGCTACATGCAGCTTCAAATCAAGTTATGCTTCACAGATATTATTAGCATGCTTCTCTCCTTTCTCTGTTTATGGCCTAAATATCAGACAACCAGGGATTGCTTTGTGACCAAGTTCTGGAGACTACACCAGCATGCCTGGATGTGTGTTTTTAGCCCCAGCACGGAAGCTATTTGCAAACCACCTTCTTGGGGGATGCTGTTCGACTCCCTAATCTGTTCTCGCCTTTCCTGTATGTCAACATTCATAGGATCCCAGGGCTGAAGGGAACTCAGAGGTCTTCTAGTCCAACCCCGTGTCCCAAGACAGGAGTCCTTCCTTATTCCTTCCTGGACAAATGGTGGTCCCATTTTTTTGTGGAAACAGCAACAGCATTTAGGCTTATAGCATTTAGGCTTATATACCATCCCATAGCGCTTTAGACAGAGCACTCTCTAGGCAATTTACAATGTCGGGATTATTTGCATATTGCCCCCAACAATCTGGGTCCTCATTTAGCGACCTCGGAAGGATGGAAGAAAACCATTCCACCCTCCAATCTTGCCTAGATCTTTTGAGATCAAGGAAGCTGAACCAGATTACAGACCTGGGTGGCATCTATCAGTTTGAGATATATGATTACTCCGATCCTAAAGAAACTTTATTGCAATCGAATCCTTAATTCTAAATTAAGGGGTGGCTTAAGTGTCTCACTTCTGCCCACCTCCTCCCACTGCATCCCAAATTCACAGACACCCCCCCCCCAGTCAAGAGGGTTAAGGGTCCATGTCCCCCAAATGTCCACCCCAGCTTTCTACAGGACAGGAGCGACCAGAAAGGAATGAGGGGGGGCAATTCAGAAATAGCCACCCCAGCACAGCTGCAAAGCCAATTGGGGGGGGGGCTTTCAGAGGTGCTGGGCTCGAGGGTCCCTGAAACCGCCCCCCCCAAGCAGACCCCCGGAGGGTTGCAGACCCCCTTTGAAACTGGGGGGGGCTCCAAGCAGGTCTACAACTACAACTGCCAGCAGCCCCCCCAAAGCGACCCATCCAGAGGGGGGCCCCTGGGAGCCCCCCGCCCAGGCTAAGAATGGGGGAGGGGTGCTTGGCAAGCCATATTATGGGATGGAGCGGCCCCCTCCCCTCCCCCGCCCGTCCCGCCGGCCACCAGCAAGAAAGATGGCGGCGGGCAGGGTCGCCCTTGCCCCCCCCCTTCCCCCGCCCCGCCGAGCGCCCCCCCACCTGCAGCTCGGCCCGCTCGGCCTCCCAGCGGCTCTTCTCGGCCTCGAAGCGCGCCCACTCGTGCTGGATGAAGTGCAGGATGCCCGGCAGGCTCAGCTCGGGCCCGCCGCTGCCCGCCGTGTTGGCGGCGGCGGCGGCCCCGCTCGGCGGCAGCGGCTGGTCTCCCCCCGCGGCCAGGGCCTGAGGCGGCGGCGGCGCCCGGGCCGGCGGGGCCCGCTCGGCCTCCATGGGCGATGACAGCAGCGGCGGGGGAGGCGGCGGCGGCGGCGGCTGCTGCCACATCGCGGGCCCGGCCGGCCGGCGCGGGAGGACGAGGACTGAGCGGAGGAGCGCGGGCGCGCGACCTAGGGGCGGGGGGAGGGGCGGGCGGGCGCGCGCCGCCGGGGCGCCCTTCCGGCCCGAACGGAGCCGCGCCGGAAGTCGACCTGAGGCGCGCGCGGAGGAGGCGGGACCAGCGGCTGCTATGGCGACCGGCGCATGCCTGCCGGCCTGTCTGCCTGCCGCGGTCGGCCCGCTAGGGGGCGCTGCCGCGAGGGAAGCCCGCGCAAAGGATCACGGGGAGCGGCCCGTGCTGACGGTTGGTGGGGTGGGGGCGGCGGGAAACACATCCCCGTCCTGACGTTACGCGGACCCGCGTGTCCCAGGAGCGAGTTTTCTCCCCCGCGAAGAGGCGTTATGGTCCTGGGCGACGCGTAAGTGCCCCGTTGAACCGGGAGGCCGCATGGCCTGCGGGGAAGGGGCGGGGCGTGGGGGGGGCGGAGCAGACGTTGCCCCGGCAACGGAGGGCCCCGCGGTGAGCCGCCGCCTCGCCCTGCGAAGGGAGGAGTAAGGGTGCCTCTGAGTATACGCAGAGGGCGGTCCCGCCATTCTCGCGGTTTCTCTGCCTTTATTTGGCCCCGAGGAGTTTTCGGAGGGACCTTCAGCCAGCAGGGGGTCAAAAAAAGACAATTTATACGTATAAATTATAAATACGTGTAATAGTATAATAATATTAGAGTTTGATCTTCACGTGGAGGGATGGATGGGGGGGGCAAATCCATCCAACAGGCGGTCCTCGACTTACGGCCGTTCGTTTAGTGACGGTGCCAAGTTGCCACCACCCTGGAAAAAGTGACTTTCGGACTATTTTCGCCCCAGGGTGGCAGATTTCATTTCACAACGGTGCCCCAAAAAGGTGGAGAAAAGCCTGGCCGTTCACTTAACAGCTGCCTCGCTTAGCGACGGGAATTCTGGTCTCCCTTGCGGTCGTAAGTCGAGGGCTTCCCCTCCTCCACCTCTGTCCCCCCACCACAACAACAGCCCGGTGAGGTGGGTTGGGCTGAGAGAGAGAGGGACGGCCCAAAGCCATCTGGCTAGCTTTCAGGGCTAAGGCAGAACTAGAAGTCCCAGCCGCCTGGCGATTGGCCCAAAGCCACCCGGCCTAAGGCGGCACTAGAATTCACTGCCCCCTGGTTTCTCCACCATGACACCAGGCTGGTTCACGTGAAAAGAGTGTAATTTGGGGCAACCCTTTAACGCAGGGGTCTTCAAACTTGGCCCTTTGATGACTTGTGGACTTCAGCTCCCAGAATTCCTCAGCCAGGCACGCGTGCCTGGCTGAGGAATTCTGGGAGCTGAAGTCCACAAGTCATCAAAGGGCCAAGTTTGAAGACCCCTTCTTTAACGTGTCCCGGCCGACTGCAGCCTGAATCCCTTCATCTTTCCTAACATTTGTCTGTCTTTTTCTTCTCTCTGCCTCCCAGAGGAACCAGCCTTGGATGGACAAGTCTGGAGTTGCAGGACCCTATGTGGGCCAGAGGCCGAGACCCCTCGGCAGCTGTCCGCACCTGGCAAGATGCGTGTCACCTTCTGCCAGGGCGTCTTGGCTGCCGCCATCGCCATTAACCTGCTGATCCTCTACTACATCTCCAGGCTGCAACAGCACGTCCTTCAGCGGCATAGGGTCCATGCCCAGCCCAGCTCCCCGCAGCACCTTGGGCCCCTCCGCCCCGGTGTGACCATCCTCATCCGAGACTTCGAAGACTTCGAGAACTACGTCCCCAGCGTGGTGCGGTCTTTCCTGAAGCAGCATCCGGAACTGCCCGTCTTGGTGGTGGCCGACAGCTGGCCCTACCCTCCCTTGCTTCTCCCCAAGGTGCCCAACGTCCAGCTGGTCATCCTCAAGCCTTCCCCGGCTCAGCCGGCCTATGTGTCCAGGCCGGAGACCTACGTGAGGACCGAGTATGTGGCCTTGGTCCCTGACGGGGTGAGAGTGGATTCCGCCTCTCAACTGGAGGAGCTGCTGGAGGAACTCAAGAGCAGCGGAGGGAAAGTAGAGATGGTGGCAGCTCCAGTCCACTCCCTGCTGCCCTTCCGGTGCCTCCACCTCAAGGTCAGCCTCAGGGAATGGACAGCGGAGTACAGCGAGACGCCCCCGGCCTCTAAGCTCTGCACCGCCTTGAAGGGGACCGCCGTGGTGGTCCTCCCCACCAAGAGCCTCTTCAACCTTTCCATGCCTTTGACCAAGCCCTTACTGACCTCCCTCTTCATCCAGAGCTCCCTGCGTGGGTGGGCCGTCCGGGTGCTGGACCGCCCCTTCTCTTTGCTCCACCAGCCCTTGCTCACCTCCTCCCACAACCAGTGGAAGGCCGACAACCTGGCCAAGGCCAATCAGCTGCAGCTCTTCCGGGATTTTGGCATCAAGCAGGTGATTCTGGAAGACGGCAAGCAGCAGTGGTTCGGCTGCAGCAAGGAGACGCCGCGGTGTTTCGGCACCATTCAGGATGACACGCCGGAATACCTCTACCAGAACCGCTGGACGCCGCCCTGCTGCCTCAAAGCCCTGAGGGAAACTGCCAAATACGTGGTCAACGTCTTGGAAGTCTCGGGGGTGCGGTACTGGCTGGAGGGGGGCTCGCTCCTGGGGGCAGCCCGCCACCAGGACATCATCCCTTGGGATTACGACGTGGACCTGGGCATCTACCTGGAGGACATTCCCAATTGCGAATTGCTCCGGGGTGCCGAATCAGGCTCCATTGTGGACGAGAAGGGCTTCGTTTGGGAAAAGGCCATCGAGGGCGACTTCTACCGGGTGCAGTACAGCGAGCACAACCATCTGCACGTGGACCTGTGGCCCTTCTACCCCAAGGACGGCCTGATGACCAAGGACGCCTGGATGGACCATCGGCAAGACGTGGAGTTCCCCGAGCACTTTTTAAAGCCCTTGGTGCCCATCGAGTTTGCCGGCTTCGTTGCTTTGGCGCCCAACAATTACCGCAGCTTCCTGGAGCTCAAGTTTGGGGAAGGGGTGATTGAAAACCCAGAATACCCAAACCCAGCCCTGAAGAGCATGAATGCGGGGAGGTGAGGGGACACCCACCCGGGGCCCAGCTGCGAAGGGAGAGATCTTGAGGTCTCCAGAAGAAACGAAAACCTTCCCTTTGATGTGAATCGGGGAGCTGAGCCATTGCTGCACATGGGGTGGGGGGTCGGGGGATGGCCCAGCCTCTGTTCAGAACTCAGGGAGATGCTTGCAAGGCTGAAAGGAGTCAGAGCAGGGGCAGGGGGCCGTTGGTCCTGCATTTTCTTCCCAGAAACTATCTAACCCAGCGTTCTTTATCTTCAGCAGCTGGCACTCAGAGGGAGACTGCCTCTGCACTCGGCTGCGATTGTTGCATTTGAAAAAAACGAACACCAGAGAGGGCAGCTGTCTCTTAAAATAGGGCCGTGGGCTGGGTCACCAGCCGAGGAAAGAAGGGGGGGAGGATGACAGCTGTTCATTTTGGCAAGGGGCGTCTGACACGGGCTGACTTTCACAAGATGACCTGAAGGATCAAAGGGGATCCTTGTGCGAGAACTGAAAAAAATACAATACACAGATATACAAGCACGCACATACACACCCCGGTTCCTGAGGGGTGTGATTCCGGAACAACTTGCCCACAGCCAGCTTGCCGTGGCCAACTCATCACGGGGCAATTTAACAATTCAATTTAATTACTTAAAATTAATTTTAAAAAATATTTTAATTTCTGTCCTTCACGCTTCCTTTCTCTCTCTCCATTCGCAAAAATGATTTTGTTCCACCATGTCTTTGATATTAGTGTAACTCTTGCCCTGCAGTCAGTTGCCCCTTGGCAAGTTGGCTGTGGCAAATGCTCATAGACAGCCCCTCCCCCCTTCAGCTCCCCGGCGGTCCTGGGAATGTCAAAGAAGGGACCTGCACCCTGTTTTCCCTGGTTGGCGGCCTTGAGGGCAGGCAGCAGCTTTGTCCCAGGGCTCAGAACACAAATGAAAGGCCTCGCCTTGCAATTGCATCCTTTGAAGCTAGGCAGGTGGACTGAGGAACGCAGCCTCCAGTGGATGGAGGTTCCCCAGACCCTTTGAGGAAGGGGGCGTATGGGCCAGGGGTGCAAAGACATCTTGAATGAATAGAGACAGAGTTGTGCCTCTGGCGAACAAGCATTTTTTTTTTAAGAGTAAAAGAACTGAGTTTCCTCTTCTGCTCTCCTCCCAACCCCCAACCCCCCAAATTGGTTGTTGTCATATTTGGGCTTATTCCACAGCCCAAAAATTCCCCCACTTTATCTTGCTAACAGATAGTAATTGACAAGCATTAGGAGTCAGGCTTGGCATGGCGATTGCTTTGGACGGTTCGTATCCTGGTTTTAAAACAGTAAAAAATAAAATTAACGTGCCCCTAGCTTGCATCTTGCGTCCAGATTCTTCTTTTATGCTACGAGGTGGTGTTTTTTTCTTCCTTTTTTTTTTTTTTGGAAAAGGGCCAGCAAGCAGCTTGTTAAAATCAAGGTCAAAAATGAGCAGGAGATGCTGGATTAGCTGCTTGCCAAAGAAAACATTGCAAATGCCAACCGGCTTTTTTAAAAAAAGAAATAACTGAAACAAGCGCTAAAAGGCAATTTGACTTCAGTCCAAATTCCTGTGGGGAAGTGTTAAAATGTTGGATGCGTTTGGGGGCTTTAAGGGGGTCGGGTGATTTCAATCCATTCGAGTTTCTCTTTCTCATTGGCGCATTTGTGGGTTCAAATCCTGGTGAAGGCCTTTGATACATCTCCGGAATGCTGCTTCCCGTTCCTCTTCCTAGGCCAATCTGCAAATAGTGTGGCGTGCCTCCACTTCCACGCAGGATCTTTTCGTTCTCAAAGTTCCTGCTGTTATAGAAGTAGTGCTTGACCAATGACTGTTCGTTTAGTGACCGTTCAAAGTTACGACGGCACTGGGGGGAAAAACTGATCAGTTTTTCGCATGACCGTTGTGGCATTCCCCACAATCACGTCATCAGAATTCAGAGGCTGGGCAACTGGTTCATACTTACGACCGTTGCCGTGTCCCAAGGTCACGTGATTTACATTTGGATGTTGGACAACTGTTTCACGTTTATGTCGGTTTTGGCGTGCCAGAGTCACTGTATCTCCTTTTGCGACCTCCTGACAAGCAAAGTCAGTGGGGAAGCCAGATTCACTTAACAACTTATCAACTGCAGTGATTCCCTTAACAACAAGGTCGTCAAACGGGGCAACACTCCCTTAACAAATGTCTTGCTAATGAACATAAATTCTGGGCCCAATTGTTGGCCGATTCCTGTACTTTTGAGATCTCCAGCTCCTTATCCTCGCCACCATGGTGGGACCCCCTAAAAATTTTGCAACCTGGGTCGGGGGTCTTTATAGAGTGGCTGAAAATCAAAACTGGGAGAAAAGTGCCATTTACTTCCTGACGCCCAGCTTTGGCTTAGCACCACAGGCAGTGCTGCTGTCCCTACGCAACCTCTCTGCGATGCCTCGTTCCTGCCAGCAGAGATCAGCAGCTGCAGAAGAAGACTGGACCAGATTTAATTCCAATTTCAAGCCCGGAAGGATCGTGTTTTTTCAATTCTTGCCCGGAAAAATCCACGGGAAATCTTGCCCTGGAACGAGTCATGCCAGGCTAGGAATGCCTCAGCCCTCTTGATCTTTCTCAGTTAAGTCGCTGGCAGGAAAAGCCCCATTTTTGCTTGGTTCCTGGATGCGATTTGGAAATGGGGACAAGGCAGGAGATGAATTTAGCTTGGGAGAAAAACCCTGCGGGCTTTAATGGGTGGCACCTTGAGAGATGCCAGGTTGGGCTGGAGCAGTGGTTCTCCACCTTTTTAATGCCGCGACCCCCAGCCGGTCGTAAATCGAGGACTACTCAACCGGTCGTAAGTCGAGGACTACTCAATTGGTGCAGCACCGTTTGCAGAATGGGACTTTTGGCGGGCTCAGCAGGGCAGAGACAGCCTGGACAATTCCTATTGGCTTTTGAAAGCCAATAGAATTAGACTCCTATTCAAGAGAGTCTATTCTATTGGCTTTCAAAAGCCAATAGAATAAAAGGGAGTAGCACAGCTAAGGAAAAGGGGGGAAAAAAATGGCGGACTGCATTGCTTGGCGACCCCCGTGAAATGGTCGTTCGACCCCAAATGGGGTCCTGACCCCCAGGTTGAGAACCACTGGGCTGGAACGACCGAGGGTTTTGCAGCGTGGCATATACCAAGAAATGCAGTTGTTCCCTTCGCTGGGTGAATGAAGCCAGCCAGCCAGCTAAAATGCCCCATGCCTTATAGCATGTTATGTTTGAGGCTCAGGGTACCAACTGAGCACATCGTGGAGAATTTGCTTCTGGACAAATTTTATTAATTTATATTATTGCATTCCTCAGACTTGTTTGCTGTCCATCTCACCGAGAAACAACTCTGGGCTGCTTATACAGGTAGTCCTCGACTTAACGACAGTTTTCAGCCCAAAATGTATGTTGCTAAATGAGACAATCAAGAGAATTCTGCCTCATTTTACGACTTTTCTTGCTGCAGTTTGTTAAGTGAAGCACTGCAGCTGTTAAGTTTAGCAACACGGTCGGTAAGCAAGCCCATTTTCCTCAGTGGGCATATTTTGCCAGAAAGTGGAAATTAATGCTAGAAACTCCCCCCCCCTCAAAAAACCCATACAAAATTGTGGTCACATGACCATGGGATTCTGCAAATGACCATCAATGCAAGTTTGTTGCCAGGCACCCCAAAGGTCCACAGCGTGTGGGCAGCCATTGGAACCTCAAAAATCTGGAATGATAGGAACTGATAGGAAAATTAATTCTGGAATGTCATGTTTGTCCATTGTTGTTTTAATTGTATTATGAATAAAAATAGTTTAAAAAAAATCTGGTCATGAATAACTCTAAGATGGTCCGTCGTAACTTTGGACAGTTGCTAGGTGATTGGTCGTTAAGCGAGGACTACCTATATTTAGTCTCCCTCGGAGCCAAGTTCCTGTTCTTTGTTTCTTTGGGTTGCTCTTTGTCTGAACCTTTAGGAACGTAGCATCTCAAACCAGCCACAGGATTTGAGATGCAACTCGGATAGCCGTAGGATCCGATTTCAAGGATCAGTTGTAAAGGAATCGAGACCGGATCTTGGGGAAGGCAGGAAACAGCCATGGAGAGACTTGGGAGATTGTACCGTTCAGTTATTGCATGAAACATGACGCAGAGAGAGACTCAAATCAACCCTGTCTTGAATTTGTTTCATGTAACAGGAAACGGGAAACAACTTGCATAGATTTTCAACTTTCTGACATTTCCACCCTGCAACGGATCAAGCAGCATTCCTCAAATCCCTGTGGGGGTGTCCTTGTGCTTGACCTGGCCTGCCTTGGAGGTCCTCCCAAGAAATAGACCCAGGTTGTTTGGAAACATAGTGCCTTATAGGCCTTTGCCAAATCAAGACACCCCCCCCCTTGGGAAAAACAAGCACTGCTGTTCTCCCACAGGGCAATATGCCAGGGGCTGTGTCCACATCACCTACCTGCTGTCAGGACTCCACGCTCCCTTCCTTGCCACCTAGGCGTGCCTCGCCTGCAAGCGTCAGGAGGGGCAAGCTAGGACAAGGATGGTTTTCCCTGCACCTCCAAGCTTTGCATTTTGTTGTTAAGAACAGGTGGGGCAACCTGCGTTTCTTAGTCTTCCTGCCCTTCAGGTGAAACCTCAGCTGCTGGGTAAAGGTGGGCAGGTGAAGAGCATTGGCTTTAAACCAGAAAGAGCAGTGGTTCTCAACCTGTGGGTCGGGACCCCATTTGGGGTCGAACGACCATTTCACGGGGGTCGCCAAACAACGCAGTCTGCCATTTTTCCCCCCCTTTTCCTTAGCTGTGCTACTCCCTTTTATTCTATTGGCTTTTGAAAGCCAATAGAATAGACTCCCTTGAATAGAGTCTAATTCGATTGGCTTTCAAAAGCCAAGAGGAATTGTCCAGGCTGTCTTTGCCCTGCTGAACCTGCCAAAAGTCCCATTCTACAAACAGTGCTGCACCAGTAGTCCTCGACTTACGACCTGTTGAGTCGTCCTCAACTTACGACCGGTTGGGGGTCGCGGCATTAAAAAGGTTGAGAACCACTGAGAAAAAGCCCTTCAGAATTGCATTCCTGGAAGGCCAAATACCACGCGTGGAAAACTCAAGAGCTGAGCAGATGTTTGGGGAAGAAATGGTGAACTGAAAGCAGAGCCAACAAACCATGATGAAATGAAGCAAGGGTGAAAAGACTGGCTCTTTGGGATTCCTCCCTGGACAAGGGAGAGGGTTCGAGATCATCCACGTGTGTTCCAGACAGTTGCTCCTCCCAAGGAGACCACAAGAAAGTCTGATGGGTTTAGTGCTCTGGGGGACGAGGGAATAAGTTATCTTACTCAAACTAGGTTTGGTACCTTTGCATACTTCCTTTTCTTATCATTTTTTGGAAATTTACTTAATTGCTTTTCAGATATTCAGAATCTTCCGAAGGCAAGTTTAATTGCACCGGGTGAGTTTCCTTCATTCCTTAGCAAAGGGGGCTTTAAGACAATTATACGGACTAAATAAACATAAAGCTGGTTTATTTGAGCCGTATCTCTGGCAACCTTTCATGGACTGTTGCTGGCATCAGGATTGTTTTTTAAGGGTTTGTTTATAGATAAAAGATGAGATTTGGGAAGAAGAGGTTTGTTTATTTTAAGAGGTGATATTAAGAGGGGGAAGTCCACCCTTTATATATTTTTCTCTTTTAAGTATATTCTTAATTTTTCTTTTCTGCCCCGTTTTTTTCTGTTTACCCTTTTGTTTTTCAACTGGCATGCGTTCTCATCTTTTCAACTGAACCAGTCAACATTACTTTTTCAAAAAAAAAAGAGGGAAATTCAACAGCGATCCAGAATTTGGGAATGAAAACCGAGGATCGGCAGGACACCCAAGCCTGAAAAGAATAGGATTCTACAAAAAACTCCATCTCCAAAAAACACAAGTGAGTGTGATCCGACAGGCAACACACAAATTGCGGCTGCCTTGTTAAAATAGCTGAGCGTTAAATGACCAGAGTCCTGTGATGGGAGACCCACGTGCTCACGGCCTCAGCCTGGCCCCTCCATTTTATTTTTATTTTTGCAAGAAGAGATAAACACTTGCTAAAATCCAAAAAACAGCTTTTATTCTGTTTAATGGGGCAGCTGACATCCCTCTGCACAGCAACTGTGCCGGTAAAAACCAGCCAACCTAACCGCCCGGCACAAAGGCATTATTAGTTAACCAGAAAAAAAAAACCTGTTTAACCAGTCCCTGTTCTTCAGTTGCATCCAAAGTGTCCATCCATCCTGGGGGAAAAAACATTGAAGAACAAGAACGCAGACATGCACGCACACACATCAGAGTAAATCACGGATCCTTGGTTCACAAAACTAGACCCATCTTTCGGTTTTTCTCCACAATTCTCGCCAAGTGGGGTACACATCGAGGGTCTGACATAGCAGCCCCCCCCGTTTTCATCTGATCTTCTTGCAGCACAGTCCAAACCAGACTGATCACCCCCAAAATTTCAGAGAACTTGTCATGCAAAAGAACCCCTTGCCAAGGCCTGGTGGAGCAGCCATTTGTCCTTGGGGTGCTCTTCCAAGGCTCAGATCACATCACCCGGAGGCTGTTGTTCTGCACACGCAAAAGATTTTCTCCAATTATTTATTTACATGGCTTTTTACATTGCCTAGCTCCGAAATTCTAGAGCAGGGGCGGGGAAACTTGGCCCTTTTATGACTTGTGGACTTCAACCCCCAGAATTCCTGAGCCAGCATGGACACCTCTCCCTTTCCCCTCAGAAGGCTGGCTCAGGAATTCTGGGAGTTGAAGTCCACAAGTCATAAAAGGGCCAAGGTTCCCCGCCCCTGCCCTAGACCATTTATACCAGGGGTCTTCAAAGTTGGCCCTTTTATGACCTGTAGACACTGGCTGAGGAATTCTGGGAGTTGAAGTCCACAAGTCATAAAAGGGCCAAGTTTGAAGATCCCTGATTTATACCCTGTACGCTCCAAGGGTCCTATTTTCCTCTGCAAATACAGCGCAGTCCTTGACTTAAAACAACAGTTCATTTAGTGACCAAAGTTAGAACGGCACCGAAAAAAGTGACCTATGACCTTTTTTTCACTTATGACCATTGCAGCATCCCCATGGTCATATGCTCAAACTTCAGACGGTGGGCAACTGGCTCCTATTTACGACGGTCGCAGTGTTCCGGCAGGAGTCCTTGGATCCCATTTTGCAACCTTCTGACAAGGGAAGTTAATGGGGAGTGGATTCACTTAACAACCCGTGTCCCAAATTTAAGAACAGCATTGATTCACTTAACAGATGAGACGAGAAAAGTTGTAAAAATGGGGCAAAACTCACTTGGCAACTGTCTCGCTTAGTGATGGGAACTGTGGGTTCAATTGTCATAAGTCGAGGACTACCTGTATAGGGGATATGCTGCCCCCCACAAGCACAACTACTGGAGGAATAGCAATCTCCATCCTTCTACTGAATTTGAAAATTTTGTATTTCCTCCCCTTCCTGTCTTGTTTCACCTACATGTATAAAAGCTGGCCACAAAGTTTGGGCACACTGGAGTGTGAGGCTGCCACCTGCCAACCCCTTACAGTAAAGTTTAAAGTCTTTCAACCTGTTTGGCACATAAAAAAAACCCCATCCTGGAATATAGATTTACAAAGAAGCACAAGAGGAGAGAACCTTAGAGCGCTCCGTGAAAATTTCGGAACATATTCTTTTCCCATATTTCTACTGTGAACCCAAATGCAAACAGCCCCCTTTCAGAAATAAATTACGTCGCAAATCAGCCATTCCAATTCTAAAACAGAAGGACAATCATTAACGGAAGTAAAAAAATATGGGCTAAGGGGAAGACAGTTAAACAAAGTTGGCCACGTCAACAGGTAGTGAAAAATTCATCCGTAGGTCCCAGTGTCAGCACATGGAGTGTGAGAGACGGAAATAAGAAATTGCAATTGAAAAAGTCTGGAGGAAAAATCCCATTCCTCTCCAGTTTCTGCGTTTACAAGGGCTGTCGGTCGCCTTGCAAACAAGTTTCAAGTTTTTGGATTTTGAAAAAAAAAAAAAAAAACCCCACGCAGTTAAGATTTAACCTGGTGCGTTTCTTGTCCTTCTGGCTTAACAGGCCAGAGAACGTCAAGTAAAGAATGGAAGGGAAACAAACAAGAAAAAAAAAATGATAAGACTAAAGACTCTTTCTGCTGGCTTGGTCCAAAATATATAAAAATAAATGCAGAGAAAATTGCACACAAAAGAGAAGAAAAAACAAAAGGATGATTGAGTGATCTCGATACGTCAATTCCTACGATGATTATTTCCCCCCCCCCCTTTTTAACTGTAGGTCGCCAAAGAGAACTTCTCGCCTTGCACACTGGACGTTTTCTTAAGCGCCACCAGAACTACGGAGAAAATTTTGGGAAAAATGGAGCGATGATCCTACGGCGTTCGTTGGCATTGAACTTTCCAAAGGTACGAAATGCGTGAAGTTCAAAGAAGAAACAATGGCGGGGGGGGGGGGGGGAGAAAGGCTGTGTTTTAAACAGATTCTTGGTAGACAAAAAAAACCTCCTGGTCATTAAATCTCCCCCTGGATGGGAAATTCTGATCTTGAAAAAAAGGAAAAATTATGTCTTTTAAAGTTCTTTTTTTGGAGAAAAGTTCTAAAGTTCGGCTTTGGAGTAGTTCAGTCACATCACGGATTCTTTTTCGCAAGGTTTGCTATCCTCCAAATGGGTTGGGCCGTTCTGCTTAATCAGCGGGGACCCCTCCTCTACCCACTTGGGCTTGCTGGCCTCCACGGCCAGCGTCTTAACCTCCACCAGGTCATCGTCCTCCGTCCTGCCCATTTTCTTCTCCGAGTACACCTGTAGGAGCCCCGCGCCGAAGGCATCGCCCTCCACGTTCAGGACAGTACACGTCCGGTCTCTGTAGGGGAACAGGAGGAACCGGGCGTCAGAATGCCTGCAAAATAACTCCATGGAGAGAAGCAGGGTGAAAAAAGGGGAGCCCCCCCTACACCCCCTCATTCAGAGCATCTTCACCTGCAAAACCAGGGTCAAAAGACTCCCCTGCCCTGGTTAGGAGAGGACGGAAAGATCTGTCGTGTGGGGTCCTTGCTGCTCTCTGAGCTGAGTGGGTTTTTTTGCAGACGTTTCATGGCCCAGCTAGGTAATGTCATCAGTGCTGTCACTGATGTCATTAGTCTCTCCGGGACGGCCTCCCTCAACTCCACCATGCACCAGACGAGCCTATTGGAGACCCTTCTCCTCTTTGTTACACAAATTCCACACAAACACAACAAGATTCCAACAGGCAGCAGAAGAAGGAAAAGTCTTAAGTCCTCCTTCCAGATTGCATCCAAAGATGGTCCCTTTCCAACCTGTGGACCAACTCCCAGAATTCCTGAGCCAGCCAGAAATTTTTGGGGGCTCAATTGTGATCATACATTAAGTCCTTGGACCAGCTGGCCCACCTGCTTTATGGTTGCCCCAATGAGCTGGTCCACCTACTCTGTGGTTCTAGCAATCTGATTAGGCAATCCTGGTTAGTTCCTGATCATGGGTGGTTCCCATCTCGCCGGCCATACTTACACCAGCCAATCCACCGCCAGGATGAGCGAGATGTTGTTGGTGGGCAAGCTGATAGCCTCCAGGATGATGGCCAGGGTGAGGACCCCTCCTGCGGGAATCCCAGCTGCTCCGACGCTGGAGGCTGTGGCCGTGATGCTGTAGTTGGAATGGAGAATAGAATAGAATAGAATAAAGATGGAATAGAATAGAATAAAGATGGAATAGAATAGAATAAAGATGGAATAGAATAGAATAGAATAGAATAGAATAGAATAGAATAGAATAGAATAGAATAGAATAGAATAGAATAATGGAATGAAGTAGAAGAACAGAACAGAACAGAACGGAATGTGATAATAAATTAAGAATAGAATAGAATAGAATAAGAGAAGAGAACAGAGAATAGAATAGAATAGAGAATAGAATAGAGAATATAATAAAATATAGAACAGAAGAGAATAGAAAGAACAGAATATCTTTACTGTCATTGTGTAACTCACAACAAAATTAAGTGCTGTCCACAGTGCACTACACACAAGTAAAAACCACAAATAAGAGCATACATTATACACACACATCCTTCACATTCTATTCATCATTGCGCAGAGAAATGGTGACTAGAAAAGGGCAGAGAAGAGGGTTTAGAAACCCCCCCCCCGATGAACCCAAGGCCTTGGGGCAGCTCTTGGCTGGCGTTTACCCTCTTTACCCCCTCCTTAACTTCACCTCTTCATTCCCCCCAAACACTTCTCAAAATTGAACACCCCCCAAAATAGAACCTCTGGACCAAAATCTGTTCTTTTTATTCCATTGCAGGGGCTTTCCTGCTCGTTTCCACGACCAAGAAACTTTTTAGCTAAGCTGGGGTGGGGAAAGGTTAGGACTGCTGAGGCATCAAGCCAGAATTGCACTTTGTATATAATCTTGGGTTAGGAAGTTGCGGGATTCCAGCCAAGCGTGCTTGGAGGACTATTTGTGATCGCAGCCAGTTGTGTGTCTTCAGCAAGTTAAGCAAACCTGGCTTAGCACGAGGCACAAAAGAGACCGGGGCAGTTTTTGCAAAAGGCTGGGGCAGCCCTCCTGCACTAGCAGAAAAAGAACCGAGATTTAATTTTAGCTGGGTGCCATTTTTAGACTTTTCCCCACCAAATCTTAGCCTTTGAGGTCCCACCAGGGATCCACCCTGAATTTCTCCAGATCCTGTGATTTCAGTATCTCTCCTTAAAGGCTGCTATTCTAAAAACTAGTTTATATTTTTTTGGGGGGGGGGGAATGCTTCTTTCCATCGCCATGTGTCCCGAAGCAACCTCTAGCTATGAATTTCTCCTTTGTTTCTGGGTGAATCTCATGACTCTAAGGTTTCCACTGACAAAATTACAGCCCATTAAAGCTTTAATGAGACCCAGATTCGTCTCACGGAGAGAAATTGAGCAATTGAGGTTTCCGTGAAAGGACAGCTCCAACCTCCTCCAATTAAATCATTTAAAGAGGTTTTATTATAATGTCTAGGTTGCCCATTTCATTGTCTGGAGCAGGGGTAGTCAACCTTGGCTCTTTTATGACTCGTGGACTTCAACTCCCTGGTCTGGAGTTTTAGTCTCCTCTTGGTAAACTTTCCAAAATATTACAAGGCTGGGAGAGGTCACAAGATATTTTATTTATTGATTGATTGATTTAGAAGATTGATATCGCTGCCTGTTCGCACAGGGCGACTCAAGGCAGGTTACACAGGATATGGACAATTTTAAATGGGAGCAGGGAAACATCAGGGCTTGTAATGTAATGATGGTTTGTTCCTAACCATGATTCACCGAATATAATCCCCACGGATTGGGTTGCAGTTAAGGCATAAGATTCCTGTGATGACTTAAAGCAATGATTCTCAAGCTTTAAGAGATGAGGAATTCTGGGAGCTGAAGTCCACATATCTTAAAGCCACCCAGATCGAGACACACGGTTCTAGACTAAAGCTGAGACCTGATCTTGGACAAAAATGGCCCAGAAAGCAATAATGTCATGCAAAAAAACCCCCCAAACTGTGATTTCATCCTATGTATCTTTAATTAAAGCTAGTGGATGCATTTCTACTTCTGCCGTGTCTTTAACACTCTTTCCTCTGTGGGAATGGAAAAGCATTTTAGGGGTCCCTTCCCAGCTTCACAGAAGGCCAAAATGTGGAGTTGTGGGGTGGACACTTACAGGATCGTGATGACTTGGACGAAGTTGAGTGAGACGTTGTTGAGCTGGGCGATGAAGACGGCCGCCACGCACTGGAAGAGAGCCGCCCCATCCATGTTGACCGTGGCCCCGATGGGGAGGATGAAACGGCTGATGTGCTTGGAGACTCCATTGTTCTCCTCCACGCACTTCATCATCAGGGGCAACGTGGCGGAGCTGTGGGGAGGAAGCCCCAGAGATGGGATCAACCATCAAGTCCTTCAGAGATGTTCCTGCGGTACTTGAAGTCCTGCCACCTTGCCCTGCCTTCAAAGCATCCCTCCCCGTGGTCTGCTCGGTTCTTGACCACCCAACCAACCTCTAGGTCCCCCCCATGTTCTTCCAGGGGAGTGACTTCTGTGGCCTACCTTGAGAGAACAGGACGTTCTCCTCAACAGGAGGTAGCTGCCTGCTAAAATCTGCTCAGAGCAATCCTTCAAGGTTACCCCAAGTAAGGAAAGCACCCTGGCAGATTGGGGCGTCCAAGGGGTGGTCAAAGAAGGCAAGATGGCGGCCGCAATATGGAAGCTACCAACTTTTTTGAGCATCCGCGTGGACACACCCGCCAAAGCGAGCTAAATCTGGGGGTACTCTTAACGTGAACTGTGGGGTCCTTGGTGTTTTCTGAGCCTAGTGAGAGCAACCCCCATCCCTTCTAGCCCTGATGACGTTGCCTAGATGGGTCGTGAAGTGCCTGCAAGCAACCAAGCTCAGAGAGCACCAAGGACCCCACAGTCTTCGTCCTCCTCCCCCTCCTCCCCCCCACCAAATCCCACTCCCTTCTAGCACTGATGTTATCTAGTTGGGTAATGGAACGGCTGCAAGAACACCAAGCTCAGAGAGGGAACCACAGCAACCCCCCACCTCACCACAACCCCCCTTTCCCTTCTAGTACCGATGGGGTTACACCTAATCGGGTCACGAAACGTTTGCAAGAAACCCCCTAGACTCAGAGAGCACCCAGCACTCCACAGTTCATCCCCGAGCTTCAAATATTCTCACCTATGTGTCTTTAACATGGAGCCTGCACCCCAAGCATCCATCTTCCGGTATGGCTCTCCATCCATCCACCCATCCCATCCACTCCTGATCCAGCGACAGATGGTCTCTGCATACCTGGAGGAGGTCCCAAAGGCTGTGGCCAAGGGGGTGAAGATCCCCCACAGGAAGCGGTAGGGGTTCCGGCGGGTGAAGACGAAGTAGATCCCCGGGAGAACCAGCAGCCCGTGGATGGCGTGACCCACCAGACAGCAGCAGATGTATTTGCCCAGGCTGGTGAAGAGCAGGACGACGTCTTCCATCTCCACAATCTTGCCGGCCACCAGAAACATGATACCCACGGGGGCGTACCTGGGGAGCGGAAGAGGCCGTCAGCTCGGCTGGAGACCCAGAGCCAGGTCAGAGTGCTGGGCTGGAGGCCGTCAGCGGAGTCATGTAGCCGACCTCGCAATTCTGCCCAGAGGCGAGAAAGCCATTTCGTTCCATTTTTTAATTAACAAATCACCTCATTTTTGTTCGTTTCGAACGTTTTGTTTTTGTAATTTTTGCTTTTAGGATGTTGAAAGATGCCCGGAGTCGCTTCACCATGAGATGGGGTGGCAGCACAGACAGGGAATAATTGATTTTTAACCCTAATTTATTTTTTAAGGGTAATGGTAATTTTTAATACGTTGTTTTATTTATTGGTTGTATTATATCAAACAATTACTATTAAATAAAGCCGCCCAGAACCCTTCTTTGAGAGAGAGGGGGGCAGTATGGAGTAATAAAAAATAAAAATAAAAGTAAAGTAAAGTAAAGTAAAATAAAAGTAAAATAATAAAGTGAAATGTATAGCAAAAGTGGAGAAATACAGGTAGTTCTCAACTTACGACCACAATGGAGCCCAATGACCACAATGGAGCCCAACATTTAAGTGAAACGTTTGTTAAGCAAATTTTGCCCCATTTTACCACCTTTCCTGCCACGGCTGTTTGAGCAGAAAAAGGTCCCAAATCCCAAATTCAGGACCTTGAAAAGGGCTTTTGGCATCAGTTTTGTGACCCGGAAGAGGGTCTACATGAGCAACATCCATACCACATAATCCAAGAAACCAGGATCATGGTGGCTTCATTGAAGGAGTTGAAGAACTTGATCAGGTTCTCCCCTTCGGGCCCAAGTTTCCGCAAGGCGACTCCGAAGACGATGGCGAAGACCACCAGGCCGAGGATGTTCATGCCCTCCACCTCTTCGCCCCTGGGCACCTGGTGTGGGAGAGAGAAAACCGTCAGCCCACCCCGAAGACCAATTAAATTTAATGGATTTTTAACCCTAATTTAATTTTTTTAAAGGGTACTGGTAATTTTCATACATGGTTTTGTTTACTGGTTATATTCTATTGAATAATTATTTAATAATAATAGTATAATAATAGTAGTAAAGTTGGAAGGGACCTTGGAGGTCATCTAGTCCAACCCCCTGCTCAGGCAGGAAACCCTACACCATTTCGGACAAATGGCTGTCCAGTCTCTTCTTAAAAACTTCCAGTGTTGGAGCATTTACTGCTTCTGGAGGCAAGCTGTTCCACTGATTAATTGTTCTCACTGTCAGGAAGTTTCTCCTTAGTTCTAGGTTGCTTCTCTCCTTGATTAGTTTCCACCCGTTGCTTCTTGTCCTGCCTTCAGGTGCTTTGGAAAATAGCTTAATTCCCTCTTCTTTATGGCAGCCCCTGAGATATTGGAACACTGCTATCATGTCCCCCCTTGTCCTTCTCTTCGTTAAACTAGACATACCCAATTCTAGCAACTGTTCCTTATATGTTTTAGCCTCCAGTCCCCTAATCATCTTTGACCTTCCTTCCACCGTTGTTAAGTGAATCCGGTTATTAAGTGAATCCAGCTTTTCGATTGACTTTGCTTGTCGGAAGGTCGCAAAAACTGATCACGTGACCCTGGGACATTGCGACCATCGTTAAGTATGAGTCAGGTGCCAAAGTCTGAATTTTGATCATGTGACTATCAGGATGCTGCAATGGTTGTCAGCATGAAAAACGGTCACTTTTTTCAGTGCCGTTGGAACTTCAGTCACTGGGCAAAGTCAAGGACTATTGGTATTTGGAAAAACCACTTATAAAGTCTATTGGGACAGACAATCAGGTAAAAGAGATAGAGTCTTCACTGCCCAGAGACCCCCCCAATCCTGAGTGGGATGGATCAATCAAGCAGAAGCCTTCCTCCAGCTGCAGACCTTTATCTCCTCCACCAGGACTAGAAACCTCAAAAAGAATACTTTACTGTACAGAGTTTTTTATTTTATTATTATTTTTTTACCAATATTGTCTCATTCATGGATTTGGTTTCATTCAGAACTGCTGTCCCAATGACGAGATCTGTGCGGTTCTTCGTTTCATAGCCGGTTGAGTACTAGGAAAGAAAATACAACAGATTTTTTTGTTTTTGCTGCGCGTTCTCTGGGAAATAGGATTTAGGGATGGGAGAGACACACCCCGGCAACTATATTATGATTGGGCAGATCTTCCCTGGTGACTTTTGCCGTGCCAACCACATGCCCTCACAAGACCCAAAATGCTCCGGGCAGGAGGCCCACAACACATAATACCTGGATAAAAAGAAGCCATTTCTTTGAGCAAAAGTTGTCTTTGTTGATTCAGGCTTGGAATTTAAACAAACGGACAGATAAAAGCTTTGCCCGTTTGCATTGATCGGTGCCAAGAAAAAAAAAAAAAACAATCTCCTCTGCCACTTTGCATTGGCTTCCGGGATAGAAGGAAGGAAGGAAGAATGAGAGATAAATAATTTATCATTTCTGCTTTTAACAAAAAGCAAAATCAACAGGCAGATTTATCGCTCGAAAAGCCGGATGATTACACCACTAAGGAGGCAGGGGCTTGGAAAATGAGAAGTTAATTTCAGGATAAAAACTATTAAAACTCAGCAAAAAATAGTCCATCCGGGGTCCAGAAACTGGCCTCTTAATTTAACGCAGCTATTAAAAATTAAGCTAAACTGGCTGGCTGACCTGTGTACTAAAAAGGATGAGATGCCAGATTTTTAAATGGTTAGGGAAGAAGGGGAGGGGGGTCTTGAGAAAGCGGTTTTGAGAGGGTGGGGAGGTACAACATATCAGCCACCCACCCACCTACCCACAAACACACAAGTTGTCTGTCAAAGCAGAAACTCTGTGCTTTTTCACCATCTTGAATTCTAGACAGGTCGACTGACACATATATCAGATAGATAGATAGATAGATAGATAGATAGATAGATAGATAGATAGATAGATAGATAGATAGATAGATAGATAGATAGATAGATAGATAGATAGACAGACAGACAGACAGACATAGATGGATAGATAGATAGACAGACAGACAGACAGATAACCTTTATTGTCAGATAGATAGATAGATAGATATAGATAGATAGAAAGAAAGAAAGAAAGAAAGAAAGAAAGAAAGAAAGAAAGAAAGAAAGTCTTCCTCCAAACAGTGGGGCAGGGAAATCCTCATCTCTGGATGCATTTTGAATTTAAACTTAATTTTTAACAATTTTATTTTTGATTGTAACTTTTTTATTGTAATACTGTACTTATGTATAACTGTCCTGGACTGCCTTTATGGCCAAAGGGAGCCTTTTCTCATCCTCCCACTCTTTCTAAAGAACTGGCTTTGGAAAAATTCTAATACACCCAGATAACTCTTTTCTTCAGAAAAGGCCACTGTCAATAAGTCACCCTGGGTCACAGAGGCAGTGTGTGCAGTCATAAGAAGTGGTCACAGCCCCCAGTTTAGTTCCTTCCCCTCCGGAGGGGAGGGGCTCAAATAGCACGAGCTTTTTTTCTCAATCACAGCCCCAGAACATCAAAGCAGCCGCTGCCAAAGGCCTCCAGCCCACACTTGGTCCTTTTCCCTCTTTCACGCAACCCTTTGCTGCCAAGTTCATTTATTATTTTTATTTTATTCATTTACTGATTACGTGTCTCACCTAAGCAACTCTCCGCAGTTTACAACATCGTAATATAAAACCACAGTAACATGTAAATAAAACCCTAGATTAAAATAGGTGGAAAGAAAGAAAGAAAGAAAGAAAGAAAGAAAGAAAGAAAGAAAGAAAGAAAGAAAGAAAGAAAGAAAGAACTCACCGATCGGAATGCAGCGGACACCAAGTTGGAAGGGAAAATGTTTCTGGATAAGAAAAGAAAAGAGAAGTGGGCATTGGCATTCTTGATTATCTGTTTAATTTACATGCTACTCAGTTTGTGATATGGATAATATATACGTTCAACACACACACACACACACACACACACACACACACACTCAATACAAGCAGCCCTTGACTTATGACTGGGGAATTCTGGGAGTTGAAGTCCATTCAGCTTAACGTTGCCGCAGTTGAGAAACACCCTTGTGTAGACATGTTCAGGATTCTCCCCAGTTGGGTGAGAGCCACAAAGAACTCAAATCCAGCCCAAGAAATTCAGGAGGTGACTGCAAACCAGCCCTGATCATGTAATCTGGTTTAACTAATGAAACCTCTGGAAGCTTTCAAAGAGCACCAAGGACCGCTCAATTCAACCCCGGGTTGCAAAGTTTCTCTCCTATTGGGGGTCCAGAAAGTGGGGTGTCCATGCCACCAACTTCTGCTTGAGGCTCAGTCCACTCTCTCTCTCTTTTAGCCATCATAGCTAACAGCTGAGGCTCCTCCATGGTTGGTGTTGTGCAATCTCAGTCTGTACTTTTCCTGCCTCCACACCTGTTGTCCCGTCTACGTCAACCCAGGAGCCAACAGACATGCTGGCCTATCAGTAACAGGAGCACATTTTCACCAAGAATAAATTGCTGGGCTATCTTAATCCTGCAGAGATCAAGTATCACGGAGTTAACTTTTGCTGGCCAAGCTCTAGATTTGGATTGCTGCCAGTCTTATCACACACAACCCACACCCCCATTGCGTCCTCTACTTTCTCCAGCTCTGGATAGGACACCACCGGAAGAGAACCTAAGAACAAATCCTAATCCCCCGAAAGCTGAAAATAACCAGCTGGCTGCCCCCTTTTCAAAAGTAGCTCGAAAGCTGTGCCCTTGGCACCAGAAGCCACCAAAGGCAGTTCTGGAGAACATCTCCTAGACCAGGGCTCTCCAAACCTGGCAACCTTTAAGACTTGTGGACTGCAAAACGTACGGATTTCAGCCCTTGGAATTCCATGGCTGGCTGAGGCATTCTGGGAGATGAAGTCCACAAGTCTTAAAGTTGCCAAGTTTGGAGATCCCTGCTCTAGGAGATGTTCTCCAGAACTTTCTTTGGTGGCTTCCGAGTTGCTGACCAAGCCCACCTGAAGGGGCTCATCCAAACCTCTCAGCCACACAATGCTTGGCAACCTACAAGCCGGCTTCCACAAGGTGGGGGGTTGAATGTGGAGTGCAAAGCCAGCTGGTTCCTCTTGGATCTGGAGGATGTGTTGACCTCCAGCCACTCTCGCCAAAATTCCCAGACAACCTGGTCGTAAAAGGGCTGCTCCTCTGCCTGAATTGCTGGCCATTTATTTTTATATTCTGTTCTTCTGGAACAGCTTGGCTTATCCTTGTCTGCAAGGATTTAAAGCTTATTTATCATTAACTCTGTTAGGGGGGGTTCTTACCACAGGGTGGGTAAGTTGGATGCTGGTAACTTGCAGATCAAGACCAAGAGTAGTTTCAGGCTTGAAAAGGTAACTTATGGTCATTTTTCACCTGGCTATTGCAGGATTCCCTCGGTTAGGCGGTCAAAATTCAGACGCTTGGGGCTGTCTCATATTTATGACGGTTAAAGGGGCCCAAGTCGTGTGATCTGCCTTTTGTGACCTTCTGACAAGCAAAGCCAATGGGGAAACCAGATTAACAACTTTATGACTGTGGCAAGAAAGGTCATAAAATGGGGGGGGGAAAGAACTCATTTAACTGCCTCACTTGGGCTCAGTTGAGGTCCTAAGTACAGGGGTAGGCAACCTTGGCTCTTTTATGACTGGTGGACTTCAACTCCCAGAATTCCTGAGCCAGCCATGCTGAGGGGAAAGGGAGAGATTTCCAAGCTGAGCCAGGTTGGCTCAGGAATTCTGGGAGTTGAAGTCCACCCATCTCCGAGTGGCCAAGGTTGAGAAATACAGGCCCAGGCCAGGGGTAGGCCACCTTGGCTCTTTTATGACTGGTGGACTTCAACTCCCAGAATTCCTGAACCAACCATGCTGAGGGGAAAGGGAGAGGTTTCCAAGCTGAGCCATGTTGGCTCAGGAATTCTGGGAGTTGAAGTCCACCAGTCATAAAAGAGCCAAGTTGGCTCTTTTATGACTGTCCTAAGTCAAAGGCTACCTGTTATTTTGTGGAGCTGCTGCTTTTATGCCCCCCAGGCAAACTAGAAAAACAGTGCAAGTGCTTTGAAGAGAGACAATCCCATTGGGGGGGCAAGGGTCTTTGCAAACTGCCCCCCAATGGAATCCAGCAGGGGGGGGAAGCTGCTTTTGGGGTGAAGCCCAATCCAAAACGTAGCATCTCCCTGAAACAAACCTAAGCTCTTCTCTCAAAAACTGCAAAAAAAAAACAAACAAACAAAAAGATTTTTTTTAACAAGCAATTCAGGCCTGCCTACTTTTTTTCCCTCCCTGAAGTTTTTGTCCCCCCCCCCCCAATAAATACTTATCTGCATTTCCCCCAAAGCTCCCCCAGCTTATTCGATGCACTGAATGCAACTCAATGCTCAAAGGCCTTTTCTGTTTACTGAAAAAATGTCTGCCGATCTGAAACTATTTGCTTTTCGGTCTTGAAATAACCCCATCATAAATGAGACTTTTTTTTAATGCAGGTTTCAGGAACAAGGTCTTGAAGAAGACCCAACTGACTTCCCTACTGGCAAAGAAACTCAACAACAGGGAATGTTGCATCAGCCTCAGAAACAAGACACCTCTTGCAACGCCCCTTTTACACACACACAAAAGTCAGAAACAAGGGGGAAAAAAAATCTGTTGCAGGTGAAGGATCTTCCCTGCCTTTAAAGCCTCTTCTCTTCCTGCAGCAGACGTCAGCCTGATTTACAAATCACATTTTCCATTACGCTAAACTTGGAAACTCTGAGTTTTGTGTAGTAAGTGTAGAATCCCATGGCAGTGAGCTGTCTAAGGGGAAGGAAGCTGTTTGAGTAGGTGGGAGTCTGCATAGTCAACCTTTCCTGGACTTCTTTTTCTTTAAAAATATATATATATATATCTGCAAGGACCAGATTTGAAAGAATAAAAAAAAAAAAAATGGAGAGAAATTCTGAGTGACGGGAAGCTGCTCAGATCAAGCCATGTATATCACTGCCCATGTGCCACAGTATGAGCATTATTATTTAAGATAGTTATTTAAACCGAAGAAAAATAAATAAATTGCAAAAGCCACATGTGCCCAAATACTTTTCGCTTTGAACTGGGCAGGTTATCAAGCAAAGAGCAAAAACTGAACACTCTAAATGATGCTCTAAAAAGGAAGCCCTTTTCCCCAAGGTTTAGCCTCACTGGCATTTTGCAAACTAAGATGTATGGACTTAACCATCTGTCTCACTCCCATTCCTCAGAAGCTCTGGAGAAAATTGCAAAGGGTCCAAGTCCCAGAATTCTCAGCCTGCTAGAGAACAGTATCTGCCTATCCTGAGGGCAGACTTGCTCCAGACAGAGCAACTAGAAGATGATTCAAATGAAAGGTGACTTACAAACTGTAGTTTGCGGGGAAAATGGGATTAAGAGCGATTTTCCAAGATGCCTAAAGGGAAAACTTGAGCCCAGGACATGCAAATGCCAAGCTGCAAGTCTTGGCATCTCTCAAAACAAGCACCAGAATTTAATATTTGCTGGAAGATGTCTAAGTCACTGGGTTTTTTTTTATGCCTCAAGGAATCACCAAGCATCTGTGTTGGCACTGGCTGCTTGGCTACCCCTGTTCACAACACGAGATGAAATCCAGAAAGATGCAGAGTCCAGAATAGCGTTTCTCAAAATTGGTCACTTGAAGATGGGTGGACTTCAAATCCCAGAATTCCCCAGCCAGCAAAGCTGTCTGGGGAATTCTGGAGCTTGAAGTCCACTCGAAATATTGGCTTAAAAATCTCAATTGTACAAAACTGGATTCCTGCAACTGAATCTGCCAGTAACACACAAAATGGTCCTGGAAAAAAGAATAAAATATTATATCATCTGCCTATTTTTATTTTACATTCCTTATTTCTTAACTGCCCATCGCCGTCAGAGACTATATAATCAATAAAAACCAGCCTTAAAATCAACATCCTGCAAGCTTAAAACGCATACAATTATAAAAATAACCAAATTTCAAAAGGTGAAAAATTCCTCCTTTATCAAAACAGGCCGCCCCTATTCCTAGGACACCCATAGGTGCTGAGCCAGGGGAACACAACCCATGTGCTGCTAAGGAACTTTGAAATAAACCAGGACTCAAGTCAGCCAAGAGGGTTTTTTGCAACCGAAATTCTCTTCCGAATTTAATCAGCCGGCTTGGCGGAACACGCCCCAGCGGGGTCTGCAAGCAACTGTTACAACAGGGCTTCCTAAACTGGGAGTGAATTTCTGCAAATTGGGTAAAAAGTGGTTGTTCTTTTTTCTTGGTCAATTGCAACAGAGATGTTCGAAATTGACATAAAAGGGTTTTTTACCATCCTTGAAGCTGGAGGAGGAGGAAACCAAGACAAGTTGGCTTATAGCCACAATTGGTTGGAAGAGACACTCCCCCCCCAGTGCCTGCTCACCTCCCCCCGCCCCCCAAAAGGATCTTTCAAAGCAACAGATAGCTCTTGGAGGGGGCCAGGCCTGACTCGAGGTTACAAGACAAGATCATAAAATGAAGTTCCGGATTTCCCTCTTACATCTACTGGCTCTTCCTCCCACCCCAAATATTTTGTCAGCTTACGGAAAAAGCATGTGGGGTGGGCTGACTGCCCTTCAGAGAACATTCTGTACCGTGACGGGTGTGTGTGTGTGTGGGGGGGGCGCAACAGGCTATGATCCATGACCTTTTAAGGAGAGCCCTGGATGAAGCTCTCCAGGAAAACCAGGAAAGCCGGTCTGTTAATTTTGCATCCTGGAAAATGGCAGCTTTTTTAAACTGCACGCAGGGCTGGAGCTGGTGGGGAGGGGGAAGAAAATGTTAGAGAAGGAGGGGAAGAATCAAGTACCAGCCCTCCAGGGACACCAGCTAGCCAACTGGACAAGGGAACTCAGTGGGCAGAGCTGCCTCTGCCCTTTGTGGTTAGTTGAACCCAGCTCTGTATCTGCCTAACAGAATCTAGTTTGATGATGCAATGCCCAGGGTTGTGTGCATGCGGCCTCTTTCTTCAGAAAAGGGACTGATAAGTAACCACCCAGCCCGGATACGGATACGATAGGGGAAGTCCCCCGGTTCTGACATGCTCATTGCGCCACTCCGAGCTATTTCTAACGTGGCTTTTCAATTCGGTCTTCGCCATATGTTGCCGGACTGGCTGGCTGAGCTCAGCCCCAACTGCAAAGGGACCTCACGTTTTATTTTTACTGGCCAAGACACAAAGGCTCATTCACACATGCAGACACATCCTCATTCGTATACACACACATCCAATTTGGGTGTTAGGTCTCCAAAGGGAGAACTTGTCCACAATCAACCACACCAGCCTACAAGAAGTGAGGATGCCCCTTAGTCTCAGGGAGCAGCCTCCCCACCCCAACACACACCCCCACGTACGTTTCGCTTCTCATCCAATTCACAGAAGTGAAGCTTCTTAGATGAGAAGCGAAACTTTTTTTTAAAAAAAAAGAGAAAGGAAGAAAGTCCGGTTGTCTTTGGGAAAAGTACCCCTGAAGATGATGCCCACCTGATCTAAAACCCTTTGGCTTGCACGGGTGAAGAAACCCCAGGTTCCTTCCCTTTCCTTGCGCGGGAAGAAGCCTTTTACGCCGAGGTTTAGCCTCGCTGGCATTTCGCTCCGAGATTCCCCCGGGCGCCGCGCTCTCACCTGACCAGGTCGAGGAAGGAGTCGACCACATCCTTGGACTGGGGCACGCCGGCCGAGTCGCCGTAGTTAGTGAGGCCGGTGGTGCCGGCGCCGGGCCGGATGGCGAAGGCCAGGGCCACGCCGATGGAGGAGGCCAGCAGCGTGGTCAGCAGGAAGAAGAGCAGCGCCCAGCCGCCCAGCCGGCCCAGGGCGGCGGGGTCGAGGCTGGCCGCGCCGGCCACCAGGCTGCAGACCACCAGCGGCAGGATGATCATCTTCAGCAGGCGCAGCAGCAGCTCCCCCGGGAAGGCGAAGAGCTGCATCTGCGCGGGGCCCAGCCCGCCCGGCCGCCGCACCGCCAGCCCCAGCGCCACGCCGGCCACCACGCCGGCCACGGTCAGCAGCACCAGCAGGTTGGCCCGCAGGCAGCCCCGCACGCGGGAGCAGCGGGCGCCTCGCCCGGGCATCACCGCCGCCTGCGCCGCCGGCCCGATGTCCCCGTTGGACGCGCTCTTGGTGGCCGTCATTGCCGCTGGAGGGTGGCGCAGGGTCTCCGTGGGGTTCCGAGGCTCCGGCTGGGCGAACGTAGCTTTCCCGCCTCCCGCCCCACTACAGCTCAACCACGCGGCGCCCCGGGCTCGCTTTTATAGCCTTGGGGGCTGTCCTGTCTCGAGCCGGGGGAGGGGGCGGAGGGAGAGGGGGTCTCGGATTGGCTGCGGCGCGCGTCAACTTTGGGGGGGGGAAGGAATGCACCACCTGGTTGAAAGAAACGGGACGGGGAGGGGCCTGGTTGGGAGGGGGCGGTGGGCGGCGCCGGGCGGGGAGCGGTTGCGTCAGCCTTCGGGAGAGGCCGCTCGGGCTGCTGCTCCGGCGGGGCTCGCGACCGTGGGGAGCGGCACCTGGGCCCGCCAGGTGTGGTCAGGAACAGTTCCCATCGGCCCCAGCCGAAGGGCACTTCGCCCTTACCAGGAATGGGCGTCGGGCTGGAGAACACCTGGAAGGCACCAACCTCTGGTTTCCCAGGTGTGGACTACAACGTCCTTCATCCCTTGCCAAGGGCACCAACCTCTAGTCTCCCAGGTGTGAACTACAACATCCCTCATCCCCTGCCAGGGCACCCATATCTGGAGGGCACCAACTTCTAGTCTCCCTGAAGGTGTGGACTGCAACATCCCTCATCCCCTGCCAGGACACCAATATCTGGAGGGCGCCAACTTCTAGTCTCCCTGAAGGTGTGGACTACAACATTCCTCATCCCCTGCCAGGGCATCAGCATTTGGAGGGCACCAACTGGGGGCTCCAGTCCTTCAGAAGGTGTGGACTGCAACATCCCTCATCCCCTGCCAGGGCACCAATATCTAGAGGGCACCAACCTCTAGTTTCCCAGAAGGTGTGACTACAACATCCCTCATCCCCCTCCAGACTTCCCCATTCCCTCCTTTCTTCCTGACTCCACTGAAAGGAGCCAGCTCAGTGAAGGGCATTCTGGCCAGAAGTTATGTTTCAGGCACACCCCAGTTATGGTCTGCAGAAGTCCAACAGGTAGAGTCCCTCGTTATTGGTGGACTTCTGCCTTATTTTCCCCAATGCTTGTAGCAATGGGATTGCAGAGACCTTTAGCCTGGCACCGTCTGCCCGTCTTAAGAGTGGTCAAGGCTGAGAAACTGGTTTAGATTTTAGGGGTTGTCACCTCCAGATTCCCAGGTTCCACAGCGATAGACCCAAAGCATCTAAAATCTCATAAATCTGGGAGATCTGTTGCAATAAATGGCTATTAAGCTGTTAGAATGCCAAGGGAATTAGAGATTTAAAACCAAAAATTATTGGATTAGTATTATCCAGCTATCCTTAACCAGGCATTAACTGCAGACTGTATTCTAATAGAAATTTAGTATATTAGAAAAAAAAACCACTTTTACACACTGCGGGTGATAAAGATTGCATTATGTGAACACCTTCAGAAAAATCGAAAGATCTACATTTAGAGTCGGATTGTTTACAGAGCCCAAAAGGCAGGTCAGCCACAGACTGTCTGCAACCTACATATAGTACAATAAAAGAACACAATAAAAGTTAGACCAATCGTGGCCCAGCTCGTAGATTGCTATTAAACCGTGTAACCGTTTAACATAAATCCGCCCTTAAAAGTTCTCTGGATCATCTGTCTATTATTCAGACATTACAATAACTCTCTTTGTCCCGGGGGAAAAAAAATAAACCCAGTGAGGAAATATTTAAATACAAACAAATACAACTTATCACAACGGAGCCCAACATTTCTGCTGCTAAGCAAGACAGCTGTTAAGTGAATTTTGCCCCATTTTACTACCTGCCTTTTCACCGTTGTTAAGTGAATCATAAGTTGTTAGGTGAGTAACAGGGTTGTTAAGTGAATCTGGCTTCCCCATTGAATTTGTTCGTCAGAAGGTCACAAAAGGGGATCACGTGACCTTGGGGAGGCTGCAACGGCCGTAAGTCAGAAAAATGGCCATGTCACTTTTTTCAGTGCTGTTGTAAACTTTGAACGGTCACTAAATGAACTGGTGTACGCTGAGGACTAGCTCTACTCCGAAAAGTCTGCTGGATTTTCTAACCGTTTTTCTTACCTCTTTGTTCTCGGGACACCAAACAAAATAAGGAAGCCACAATGGGTCATTTTCTCGTCTGCTTACAAGTATTTTGCCTATATTAAAACCATCTGCTAGCTTACGTAAGGGACTCCTTTATGTAATCGGTAATTTTAGACCCCCGGATTCTTGGGTGTCCCCGTGAGGTTTGCATAAGTGGACGGAAAAATACTGCCTGACTGCTACGGGCTCCTTTTCCATGGCCGTCCTTTCAGTTGATGCCCTCAAAAAATGCCCCATCTGCCTTTGCTGAAAACAAAGGGAGGGGTTGAGCTTTAATTCTGATCCTTCAGGACCATGATTGACACGGCAATATGCCTGCTGACCAGCAACGACGGGTGTTATTCTCCATCACAACATCCCCAGGGTCACTTAGTAAAAATTCAGGGGCTTGGAACCAGCATGTATTTACAACGGCGGCAAGGTCCCCGGATCACCTGATTGCCATTTGCAAGCTTCCTGCCCTTTGCTGTCCTCCGACACGCAAAACCAAGGGGGGAAGTTGGATTCGCTTAATGACCGTGGGATTCGCTTAAAGACTGCTTAGCGAAAAAAGGTGGTAAAATCAGGCTGCGACTCATTTAGCAACTGCCTTGCTTAGCGATCGAAATTCTGGTCCCCCCTTGTGGCCGTTAAGTCGAGGGTTGATTTAAAAGATGTTCCTGGGATCCTGCCCAGCTGGCAGATTCCATACTCAGCCCTTTGCCAGGCTGACCTCTGTGTTCCTCTGGGGGGGGGTCACGGAGGCTCTGAACTTTGTGACTCGTCCCGGGAAAGATGAGTTGGCAACTGTGTGCCTCACAAAATCAGCCATGCACAAATAAAACTGACGGGCGAGAATTCTTCACTTCCCCATTGGATCCCAAGGCTGGTCTTTGCTTAAAGGTTTAAGGGTTGCTCTCCAACTGGATCACTTCCATCCTAGTCCATCAGGAGAAGTTCATCAAGGCCGGCGGTTGGGCAAGTAATCGGAGGCCGTCTGAGCAAACTTTGGAATTTGCTACCCCAGATTTGATGCTGGCTAGTCTGGCTTCGAACCTGGGTTGGACCAATTGAGAATAACAGTGTTGGAAGGGATCTCGGAGGTCATCTGATCCAATCCCCTGCTGAAGCAGGAGACCCTATGCCGGGGATGTCCAGCTTTAAGGGCTCTGGAGTTCAACAGGTTCACTATGGCTGGCTGGGGAATTCTGGGAGTTGAAGTCCACAAGGTTGGATAGCCCTGGCCTATGCCATTCCAGATAAATGGTTGCCCAGTCTCTTCTTGAAAACCTCCAGTGATGGAACACCCACAAGGTCTGGAGGCAACTGGTTCCATTGGTTAACAGTCAGTGTTTCTCAACCTTGACCATTTTAAGGCATGTGGACTTCAACTCCCAGAATTCCACAGCCAGCAATGCTGGCTGTGGAATTCTGGGAGTTGAAGTCCACATGCCTTAAAATTGTCAAGGTTGAGAAACACTGCTTCCCATTGTTAGGAAATTTCTCCTTGATTCCAGATTGCTTCTCTCTTTGATTAATTTTTATCCATTGCTTCTTGTCCAGCCTTCAGGTGCTTTGGAGAATAGCTTGACCCCCTCCTCTTCTCTGGGCAGTCCTTCAGATATTGGAAGACTGCTAGCATGTCACCCCTAGACCTTCTTTTCGTTAAACCAGACCTACCCAACTCCAGCAACCGTTCTTCGTATAATAAGTTTATTTCTGCTCTCAACTGCAGTCGTTAAGTCGAGGATTACCTGGAGGAGCCGTTTCCCAGGTTGGTGGGAAAACTGTTAAGGCCAAAGGAGGAGAGGAAAGGAAATGGGGTAATCTTTCTGGGAGATCTTTTCTGCAGTAGATCTTCCCCAGGTGGGAAAATGCCCAGAACTCCCCGGAGGCCCCTGTGTGTCTTCCCGCCTGCATTCTGACAACAGTTACGCAAACCCTTGTAATTGCTGGCTTTGCCTTCGCTTCGGGGACAATCTTTTCTCCCTCGGCAAGCCGTGGCAAGGATCCTTTGTGTGTTTTTCATCACAGGCCCCATCGCTGCAGGAATGTGGCCGGCCTGCCAAGCCCCCCCCCAGCCCTCCGGCTTCTCTTGAGCGCCTTTGCCTTCTGGGGGGGGGGGCAAAGGGGAGGCGGAAATCCACATTTCAAGCAGGCCTTTTGATCCCAGGCGAATCCAGACCCGTTGGCTCCATCGCTGTCTGTCCGTGCCAGCCAGAGAGAGATGCTCCTGGACAAGGGGTGCCGTTGGCAAGGGCGAGGAAGGCCTGCCCACCCCTGGTGGGCAGGTTAGGCCAGGGAGGGGCTCGGGCTTGCCTGGATGTGGGCGTTCAAAGGACACAGACCGCCGGCTGCCACCCTCAAACGGGCTGGCTCTGGGCCGCTCATAGCAAGAAGCAAGCCTAAAATAAAAAATAGCAATCAATGGTAATAATCAATCATGCGGATGATCATCGGATAAAATGTGGGACGCCTTCTCGACAACGCCCCCTGTGGACGGGAGGGGGAGTTTTGCAGCATGTGGAAGTGTAACCTCTGAGCATGTGCAAAGTGGGTCCCGTTGTTGATCTTGTCTTCTCCCCTCCTCCTCTCCCCCTCCCCTCCCCTTCTCCCTCTCTGCCTCCTTTCCTTCTACTCCTCCTCCTCCCTTCTCCTCCCCTCCTCCCCTCCCCTTCTCCTGGTCTTCCTCTTCCCCTCTCCTCCTCCTCCCCTCTCCCTCCCTTCTCCACCCCTCCCTTCCTCCTCCCCCTCCTCCCCTTCTATTCCTCCCTTCCTCCCCTTCTCCTCCCTCTCCTTCTCCACCCCTCCTCCTCCTCCCCTCCCCTCCTCCCTTCTCCTCCTCCTCCCCTCCCCTCCTCCCTTCTCCTCCTCCTCCCCTCCCCCCTTCTCCTCCTCCTCCCCTCCCCTCCTCCCTTCTTCTCTTCTTCCCCTCCCCTTCTCCTGGTCCTCCTCTTCCCCTCTCCTCCCCCTCCCCTCCCCCTCCCCCCTTCTATTCCTCCCCTCCCTTCCTCCCC